TGGCCCGTTGGGAGATTATTAGGGCATCCTTACTAATATTGTTTTTGACTATAATATGATATTAAATGTAGAAAGAGAGCTGTGACCAATTATCAAACATTGTGGGTGGTCGAGGATACCGCCATAAACCGCCACACTGCCTGATGTTTATTGGGAAAAAGTATCTAGGACTTTTCATCTGTGAAACAAAAGAATTAAGGGCCTACTAATGGTTGATTAATATTGAAAAGGAAGTTCAGTCGGAACATAAGACATGTGCTAGTTTTGTAATGTCAAGCCCATATCTAGCTACACCAAGCTGTTGGTTTCCAAAATTATAATATTACTAACGACGGCCCGGTATGTGCTTCGCTATGTATAAAGTGAAATGATAAAAAAAAATTAACATCAAATTGATAATTATCGCTGACAATTTGCTTTAATCGAAGCAAGTCCAAAATGAAATGACCGCATGAATAACATAACAACATGCTTGTACTGTCAACACTGAAAAAAGTTTCAATTTGACAGCACAATCCCCATCTCAAAAAAAGTTTAAATTTGACACAAAAATCCCCATTATACAAAATGATCCGCCATTTATTAAATTCATTTGTTACAAAAAATGTGACAAATGAAGAAGCGCTCGACCGATTTTGTGCAAACTTCACATAAACCATCTACTAAATAGTCCGAACAAAGTCTAATCATTTGGTTTGGATAGGTGAGCCCGTTCTTGAGTTATTACAACGAAAACTGGTATATAGATATTGTGCATTTAAGTACATGTTTAATTAAATTAATAGAGTTGTATCGAACTTATATTTTTCCTAAGATTTAAATTACGAATTGGCAGCCTTGCACATGTGCCAAGCTGTCCGCATCACTGTGAAGTGTGTTGTCTCACAAGAATGTGTACATAATACTATAAGTCAAGGGGCTGACTGTCTGTAAGGAATAGGCAGGTCGAGTTGAATTGGACTATGTTGAACTACTTGTATATTAATCACTATGTCCGTACATTGTTTTGAGGTATTGTACACAACTGTTATGTAATAAAAACATTAGTAAGGCAATAATTATAAATAACAAGGAGAAGATAGTCGCAGTATCGTCCAAGTATGCAGAGAAACATGAGTATCTACCAAATTTATCATAGTTTTTCCAACAATAAGTAATATGATCTGGGTTGGTATTCAGGAATGTATGACGGGAAAATACATATTATATTATGAATGTAATATTTTTTTAATACTTTAAGCTAAATCAACATTTGATCTAGTATGATTAAATTTTATTTAGTATTAGGTTCTTGCCTATTTAAATAAAAAAAATAAAGAACATCGTGACAAGCTTTTAAGATGCGAAAGGGCTATGGAAAGGAGCATGTTACGAATAAAAAGAAAAGACAGAGTGAGAAATGAGGATATCAGGACCAGAATGAAGCTAACAGACATTCACTTACAAATAGAACAGCAGAAATGGCAATAGACATGCCACATGTTGCGCAACAGCATAGATAAATGGAGCTCACGGATCACAGTTTGGTATCCACGGGACACTAAAAGGAAATGAGGCCGTCCACAGAGACAAGAGTGTCTCCAGAGAGAGCCGTCCAGAGAGATGGGAGGATGAAATAAAACAAACAGCAGGTCTATGCTAGAGTAGAGCAGCAAGGGACAGAAAGTATTGGAAGGAGTTTGAGTGGTGGTGAGAGTGGAGGCCTTTGCCACAAGGCACTTTGTGCTACGAGATTTAATTTGATGGAAATAATAATGTATATAACATATAATTTTAGTAATATAATTTTACGATTTTATTAATTAATTATAAAAAATATATAATTTATTTTAGTAAAAAAAATGTATGCATGCAATATTAATTAAAATCACAAAGCAAATTTTGTATAATATTAAGCGCAGAATAAAGGCCTCTTTATCTTTATCTTGCCTGTTACATACATATTGATTTCAAAAGTGGGAAAACCAATTAAATAGGTCACTTCGAGATGGAGTATCAAAACAAAACATACACTAGTCTTTATGATAGACTTTATGATAGACTTTCAGAAAGACAACTGTGAAAACCACATTCAATTTGATGTGATAGTGTTTGCATGATGGTGGAACAAAAATACAAACAGTCAAACAGATAATTTTTTTTTTTTATACAACTTAAAATGGCAAACAAACTGACATGAGCAGTACCATGGACGTGTATACTGTTTCGTCCATGATGCCCCCCATGCATTGCTATTCCTGAGGACTCAAGTATTATTCCTCTGTACCCTGTAAATTCATGCTATTATTATATAATATAAATATTTCTAAAAAGTATTGTTTTGGCATCTATTGGTGTTATTAAGTGCCCTCATAGTCATTATTCCTAAATATATCTCATGTACACACATTGTCTGGTTACAATTTCATTATATTAGTATGATTGGTTTATATAAGAATCAATATGTTTACATTCTGAACTTTGTCTTCACTAAAGTGGATGTTGTCCAGTTTCATAAATACTCAATGCTCAATTTCATATTGCTATGATGGCATTTGTCACACCTGTACCCTTACAGCTTTATACATGGCCCTACATCAATCCAAATCTCAAAACTTAAGAATCTCATATTGTATGTATTAGGTAGTAGACAGCATTATAATGTGACAGTCAAAGATATCCTTTTTAAATGAACATATCCACACCATCGCCATGTGGTCTCAGCATAGAATAAGCTACCCCTTCCTATCCTGTGGATATCATAAGTGGCGACTAAGGGAATTTAATGATTGAGAGATGGAATGCAGCATCCTTCTTAAAACATCACCAAAGCCTAACTTAAAACATCAACAAAGGCAACTGCCGCCTGCCAAACATGGCAACTACTAGCAATACCCTTCTTTTTGGAGGAAACCTATGTACAGCAGTGGAAAGTTAACAGCTGATATAATGATCCAAATGATATTATAGAGTTACAATGCTCTGTTATTAGTGTTTCAAAAAGTCAATAGATGTACAACCTTTTTTAATAAAAATAAAAAAGTGGCCACACCTGCATTATTGGTAGACTTTGGTAATCAATGAGGATGAAATCATCTTCATTGAGAGGAATTAAGTACAATGGTTCGTAACAAGGACTATGCAGCAGTCCATCTGAAAGGTTATACAATAAGCAATGGAGCTGTTGGAAGCCATTACTAGAGAGCCCATAATATGATAATGATACATAGGCCAACTTGATGAAGATGATTACAGTGACAGTTTTGCATTTGATGCTTTTTGCAATTTCAAACCTCTCACCTGAAAATATGTAGTTTAAGAGTCAAAACTACTAAGCAGAAGAAGTAATGGTAACTAAACACTATGAAACTATACAAGTAGTAAAATAAATATATATAAATATGTATAATTAAGTGAATTATTTACAGAGAGGTGAATAGGGAAGAGGACTTGTATATACAATGGAACTCAGGAAAATAAAAACTTGCAATTTACAAATTAGGTACTTAACAATAACAGTTAGGCATCACACTAGAAACACTAAAACTACAATTATATAACCAATGATGTGATGTTTACATAAACCATACTAGTTATTTTGGGTTTGTATACATTGTACTCGATGTAAACTAACAGGATTATACCACAAATCATCATTTTGACTGAGATTACTCCCTGAGTTAGTTTTGAAGCATACTCATTATACTCATTACAGTAGTACTCTATTTACACATTAGTTAGAAATATATTATACATGCTTTCTTTTTTACTTAAGAAGATACAGAAGAAAAAAAAAAAAAAAAACAGAAAATTTACCATTTACCATCATAAAAATAGTTAAAAAATAGAAATAATGGTTTAATGTAGCAACTCCTTATGCGTCTCTATTATGATTTCATTATGTTTTCATTTGAAGTGTTCACACGATTCATAAAGAAAAAATATCTAACAAAAATCAGTGTTAGACTCAGAATTAGTAGAATAGTGGCATCTACAATAAAACTTAGTAGCTCCAATATAGTCCACTGGACCATAATTTGTAAAGAGTTTTAGCAGTTTCCAGGTGGCATCATTATTCTTATGAAATTTAAAACAAGTCATATGTATCTTCCCCAAACAATTAACTATAAACTTGTCAAATTTGAAACTGTGAAATGAAGTTTCTCATGTATAAGCTCCTTGGTGTTATGTACATGTAGTGGACTGCCCCCATCACTTTGCACTCCTTTTGCATCACAAAATGTGATGAAGGAAAGGAAATAAAACCCTGTGATTAGTAGTGAGTTAATTAAAGGCTGACATTAAATATAATATTTTTAATTTTTTTATGGGATATCAAAGAAATGTCTATCTATAATTTTATGGGAATATAGTGATTAAATGTAAAAATACTTAAAAACACTAGTTGACATAATACTATTAGACAGATTTTTTCAGAATTATATATTTTATTATTTTTTATATAGAATTATTTAATATAAATAATTAAATAAATGTACATGTGCAATAAGACAGTATCAAGTGAAATATAGAAATTAAAAAAATTACATAAACGACATTTTACAATGAAGATGAAAACCATAACCTTTTACAGGATTCATTGTAACTATTTCACCTGCGAACTAAACAGAGTAAGGAACAAGGAAGAGATGCCACCAATCACAGGAGTCATCGCCGCTTAACGCGACCCACGAATAGGTATCACTTCCTGCCTACACGCGAGGTTATAATACACTTCTTTCTATCCCATTAGCCTTACTTAATCATAATTTCTATTAAATGACGCCCTAAATTAAAGCCTTGAAGAATAATAACACACAAGAATTAAAGTAATTTCAAAATAATACTATAGAATTTTAGTAATGGCTCACAAAGGTGACGCATCGACACGATCCGATTGACTAGTCCTATTCGTTTCTCAGATTCTTCTGGGTTAATTCCTTCTGGATGTACACTCATAATAGTTTAAGAAAACTCAAATACCACTAATACACAAGAATAAATTAAATTCACAAACTTACGAGGCGATGAAAGTCAATTGTAGAAGGCACACGCACTGCAACACGACAAGCGAGTTCTTTTGCACGCACACAACTGACTGATTGATATATTCACACAAACAAAGAATGACAGTTACTCCTTGCTATGCGCAACACCCGAATAATTTGTTATTTATTAATTTCTATTAATTCCACTTAATATATTAATAACTTTACCATAATAATTATTAAAATTATATAATTTTAATAAGTCTATATAAGAATGACTAAATGTCTTTTGTAATCATATCAATCAAATAGTATGTTTATTGACTGAACATTTTTTAATTTATTATTTTTTGTTACATAGACAAAGGTACAATTTCAAAAGAGACAGCATCTAAAAATTAATAATAACAATATAAATTTTATTTATAAATTGGTATCCATATAATTATATCCATAAATATTATATATTATTTACAATATTAATGTAATTACAATTATAATATATACCTCGAGGTTTGGTAATAATTCATCTAAGATATAACAAAAAAATCTGAATGATTCTCCACAGATGAGGAAATTATAGATAGAACCTATATAAAGACAGCTAATACGCTAATAACGTGTAACGCTTGACTCTTATAAACTATATTCTTTATGTATAGTGTAAGCTGTACTCAAGTAGGAGTGAATTAATTGATTTTCTCTTATAAATTTAGATTTTCTCATATAAAACGATTTACTATCGAGTTTAGTTTAATCTAATAGCTTTCATATACTTATTGATATTTAATTTTTTTAAGTAAATGAGATAAGTCTTGATAAAAAAAACTAATTTATTAACTGGTAAAGAAATTTATATGATAGGACCACTGAATTAGTTTATTCAGTCCATAGTTCTATTTTAATTTTATGCTGTACAATCATACAATTTCTAGGAATAGGAGCATTCCTCAACTCAAAAATAAAGGAACAATTATAGGATACTAGTTTCACACCCTAAAACTTAAATTAAAATACATTATTGTATATTGTATAAAGTCCATATTTTTCTTAAAGATAGATATAAAGATAGGTTTCTAATAATTTAATTATTTTACAAATATATAATATGTACATACTACGTACAATTTATTATATGTGTACTAAAGTTAAATAAATAAATTATTGCTAACGTTTAAAATAACTAATTGTTAAATTAAATTGTTTGAATTTCGATTTACAATCGAACACAGGGTCGATAAACCATATAACGATAGAATGTGCATGGTGCAACACTGTTCCGTGCTCACATTTACATATTCGTTTCGTTTTTGTTATTGCATTGCCAGTCTGCTTATTTTTTTTTAATAGATTATAATACTAAGTCTATAATTATACACTTGTCTATTTCTATATCTATGGTGGAAATAGAAAGAGAACGCCATAGAAATACAAGGTAGTGAAGTAGAGCGTTCTCCGGTAGTCTACATCATTGGGAACCAGAGTAACTGTCAATATGCCTCAAAGTATGTTATGAGCTTAAAGTGGGTAAGAGTCCCACACATACTTGTACCCTTCCTCCGGCTGCAGGGATAGCTTTTTTTTTTCATAATAAGATTTCCTCACGTTAAAAATGTATGTATGAGCGGATGTATTTCGAAATGGCAATAGAATTGAACCGAATAAATATTTACTTTCTTATTCACGATAAATATTAGTCGCAATTTCATCATTATGCCAGCTTAACTGTCCACTGCTGAAAATAAGTCTTCCCCTGAAGGGGTTTTGTCAGTAGTTGCCACATTTGGCAGGTGGTCGGCAACAGCAGTTAAGCTTTTGGTGATGTTTTAAGAGGGTCGCTGCTGCCCATCCCTCTAACACTACATTCTCTTAGTCGCCTCTTATGACACGTACGTAAACACGTACACGTACGTATTTACACGGGAGAGGTACAATACGCCTGGTATTGCAGCCGTTCATAGGCTATGGTAACCACTTACCTTTAGGTGGGCCGTATGGTTGCCACCTCAGTGGTATGAAAAAAAAGAGGCGTAATTAGAGATGGGCAATCCACCTGGGTGGGTTTAAAGTCTGGTGGGTAAAAACCGGGTGTTTTGGGTTTATTGGGTTTACACCCCATAAACACCCAAATTTTTGGGTGTTTATGATTTTGTACTTCATCATCGTCATCTCAGCCGCAAGACGTCCACTATACTGGACATAGACAATATTATTATGCAGCCTACAGAATAAAAAACTTTTAATTTGATTTTGAGTTTATTAAGAAAGAGATGAAAGTAAAATGTAAAACTACAGTCAATCACTGTCAGATTCAGAGTTATTACAAGCGATGAATTGTATAGGTTCGATAGGCTCTATTTCGTCTAAACTGTTATGTTCATTTACTTGCTCAATGAAAGCTTCTAAGGTATTTTCTTCATTAAACTGAATGTCCTCGCATTCAGCTTTATGTTTAAGATTCCAGTTATAACAAATGAATGAAATTTTTTCAGTTCTTTCAGTTGTAAGTCGATTTCTTTTGTTATTATGTATGTAGCCTTGGATACTAAAGGAACGCTCAGTGGCTGCCGAAGTACAGGGAGCTGATAGAATACGAATCGCTACTTTGCTTAACTCAGTGGAACCACAAATACCTTTCCACCATATTAGGGGCTCAATGCTATCTAATGAGCTCCATACAAATCCTCTGGCCCAAAAGTTTTCTTTAGCTTTATAACACGCCAAATCTGCCATTACATTTGACAAACTTAAGTGTTGGCTTAAATTGTGATAAACTCCATACCCTTAAGTTCTTCCTCTTGAGTAAGTTCGACTCCTAGAGTCCTGGGGTCTAGAATATATGCTGCAAAATGTATTGGCCTCATTGCCATATTGCATCTTGAAGATACTGATGTTAGAATCTGCTGTTTGCTTTCTTCGCTCAATGTCGAAATCTCATTTAATGCAAAACGTATCTTAGCTTGTACATCTCTAAATGTAATGTATGTGCGATGCAAACGATTCTGGTCGCTCTCTAAGTAAAATATGCTTTCAGTGACTGGTTCCAAAATACTTATACATTCCCCTGTCTTCGTCCAGAAATCATCACTTAGAATTAAATCTTTAATATCTCTTGAAATTACCACATCTTCTCTAACTGTTAATATTTGCAAAGCTATCTTATTTGCTTTCAAACTTTTAACGAAGTAACATGACTTCCCCATCTTGTAGCACAAGGCAATTTTAGTGTTTGTGTAGAATCTTCACCCTGCCTTGATTTTATCAACAAGGAACTTAATCGTTGACTCCTTTTAACAGTTTTTATTATATTTATGGCTTGCATAATAAACACAGTTACTTCTTGTATCTTTACAATATCTTGGCACAACAAGTTAAGGATATGTGCACAGCAACCGAGAGGAACAACATGTGGATATTTGAGTTTTGTTAATTCGAATGCCTTTTGTATATTTCTAGCGTTATCGCCAATAAGTACAAGAAACTTATTTGCTCCATACACTTTCATTACTTTTTCAACTTCTTGGCTAAGGTATTCACTAGTGTGAGGATTACTTTCTGTATTCAAACTTTTAACGTATGCAGGTTGAGGTTTTGATATAAGAAAGTTTATTATTCCTTCATTTCTTAAATTAGACCAGCCATCGCACTGAAGGTGTAAGTAACTACAAGCATTTAGTTCCTCATTTAACTCAAAACGCATTTCTCTATATATTTTATCTAAGTATTTTGTCGCTAAAGCTTTACGTGAAGGTATTTTAAATTTTGGTTGCAATTTTTCGAAAAATTGTATCCATAAAGGATGTTGCACCATCGATAATGGCGTCCCTGTTACAAATATAGCTCTCGCTAATTCTGTTTTTATATGATAATCGGTGTCTTGAAACTCAGCATTTATTGTAGTGTTAGCAGACGACGAGGGGCTTATAAAAGAATCATTTGTCTCTATCTCTGACAGTCCAGACATTTTGGTTTTGGACGAGCTATCTTTTATAAGTTTCATAGAGTCTTTTAATGTTTCTGGAGATTTTGGACAAGTGATAAGATGTTGAAGCATTTTGGCAGCATTACTGAATTTGTAGACCTTATTACAAAGCTTGCAAGAAACAGACTTGTTTGGTAAAGTACGGTAGTGCTCCCATATGCGTAAATCTTTAGGTCTCCCCATTGAACCTAAAAAAATGAACGATGATTAGTTGGTCTGACGAAAATTCAACAATAGAGTGCCTATTTTTTTACAATGATTATTTCTTGTTATTTACAATAAATTTATTAAAAAAATAATAAAATAAATACAAAAAACCTTTGTAAAATTACATCTCCTCGGAGGATTAAACGCAGACGCTAGTTTATTATCGTATTGTTCTGTATCAGCAACTTTAATTCGATTAGGTACTTACGCATATTATGTTAAAAATAAATATCTAGTACACATCTTAGGCTATCCACCATTATTATCCAATGAAGACTCTCAGCTAACTATGCACTATCATCCAAAATAAACGTGTATGGAAAATTTTATCCCAGTCGGTTGAGGATTGAGGATAATTGCATCAACATACGAACATACCTACATACTTTTATTTACATAACGCAAGCTAAATAAAAGCTTGTAATAATACATCTAATTTTAAGTTAAAATTGTTAAGTGATCATGATATAATTGTATCATTCAAAAATCCACTTACCTTTAATTATTTCTTGTTAAGTATAAATATTATTTCAAATCTGCTCCTTAATATGCACTTTTTTACTGCTTTTCCTACCTAACACGTTACCAGGAAGTCACGTTACCAGAGTCAGAGTAATAGTGAACACGTTTGACAGTGATTGTCGTCGCCTCATATTCAGCGTCGACGAATAGGGGAATCCCCAGTCATAATGTATTGCATGCGTGGCGGTCTTACTTCAAATCCATAAACAAAGAGATAATTACAGAACTCGATACTAGATGGCGCTGTTTTTGTTTGAAGAAAGTTTGCGGGCTAAAATACATAGAATTTCATCAATGACTTCCACAAAGAACAACATTTCTGTTTTTTCTAAGTCCGTATCTCTTCCGTATATTTCATAAGATATAAGCTTGGGCTACATTGTTATGCAACGTGATTTTGTCGCTGTCTTGCTAGCAGGGTTGACAGATATACGATTTAAAACTCATACTATTATTTGTCTATTTTTTAATGTACGATCGTAAAGATTATGATCGTAAGCACAAAAACATACGACTTTTTGGTTATGGCAACATTTTTATTATGAAACGAACATGCTCACATCATCAGTCACATGCAACAATTTATTGGGGATTTCCCCTTCACATCTGGCAGTCCTGCTTGCTAGAATATAGGTAAGTCAGCCACAGTTACTGACGATCGATATTTAAATTATTGTTTTTGTGCTAAATATTTCATAAAAACGTTATTTAATACTTTGTGGATTATTAATTTAGTTGATAATCACTGGAAGTAAAATGGATGCTAATTTGAGAGATCAAGATCTTCGTATAAAACAGTTAATAAAAGAAAATCTACGTAAGTACTCTTTTTATACCTAGGTAGGTAAGGTATAATAAACACAAAAGGTACTTAGATCGCGTGTGTTCGAAGCATTTATTCTAATAAATTTAATTTAAAATTGTAGAAAGAAAAAAATGTCACACATCTCCAAATATATTTGGCGATAGTGAGACCCAGTGTCCAGATGATTTACCCAGCGTCGTCGCAACAAAGAAAAAAACGAGGATAAAGTAAAAGAAAATTTACTGAAAGAAGAAACAAACTGTTCTAAATGCTTAATTTATGGAGAAGAGGATAAAAGAAATGAGTATTTCGGACTGTTAGTGGCTCAAGAATTTAAATATATTGTGAACGAGGTGTTATGAAGAAATTTTAAAGTATCTAAAAAGGCCAACATGTTGATCAACTGCAACATGAAAACACTGAAAATTAATTACTTTCATTTTATTATATATAGATTTTTAAAATTTCCTGAAATATTATTAGTTAACGTTTTATTTAATATTGTAGAATTGATCAATACAATTTATAAAAATAATTTATTGGTATTACTACATATTTTCAAAAAAATACGTAAAAACCTATTTTTTTGGGTGATTATGGGAGTTTATGGGTGTTTATTGGGTTTTTACCAAAGCACCGGGTTTAAACCCGGTGCTTTGCCCATCTGTAGGCGTAATACATCCAGAACGACGTGATCGCTCACAATCTGGGAATCCCTTTGGCGGTGTACTTTGTCTGAGACATGGCGGCCAAAATGTTCGTCCACGCCGACAAATTCCGTACTTTTAGTAGGGGACCTGGTATCGCTGCACGAGCGTCCATAGGATGGCAGCGTTATCGCCAGAAATCTCCTGATCACGGGTGAGGGATGATACTACTATTTACTAAATCCTCTTCTTTCGCCCCACTGTCCTTGCCCCCCGCTTCCTGTGTGTACATCTTTATTCCGCAGCCAACAGCCGCGGCGCTTTTAGTAAAGGCCCTTAACTGGTCATTTATTTTTACTAACTATACTAACAGTCGTCATTGACGTATTTAGGGCCCTTATATATTTAGTTGGTTTTTTTAAGGGCATTACATACAACCATACTGAACTCTATACGAAGTCACTCTTCAAGGCAGTTGTTCCACAGACCCGGGGGTAGTCGCCTATGGAGATGAAGCTGGGGCAAAAAGGCTCGCCTCAAGGTCCTCCACCTGCGTCTTTGAAAGACCTAAAATACCTGCGATGACGGATTGTCATAGAAAATTCATATAAATTGTATTGGTATGTAAGAAGAGAACGCTAGATATGTATGGTGTGGTAATGTATATATCGTACAGTTTGGGTAGAAATTAAAACAACAATTGAAAAAATAAAGTATGTTTATTATTTATGTTTAGTGCACGCGTTCAACGTGCTGTTATAAATTAGATCGTGATCGTGGTTAGCACGTACTGGTGTGTATAAAACATTAATATATTAGCCGTAAGCCTCACTTATCACTACTATTAGGAATGTAAAATTGGAAGCCCCTGCCACTACACTATCATATGATCACTTCCTATCTCTATTGGACAAAGTTTTCGGATGCGGGAGATGGACGTAAATGTTAATACCAAATGTAAACAATGGATTCCGCTGCGTAACACTCGTAAGTCTATCTAAAAAATTAGTCAAAAAATACATCAATTGCACGAACGATTGAGCAGGTACAATATAGTAAGTACACATTTAACATTGTAAACAAACAAACAAAATAATAAAAATTAAGTACATAATATGAGATTCACGGTAAGTAAGTACAAAGGATGCCATAACATTAAAATACATAACAATATATCAACACTAGAATAGATTTGTAATAGGACATGTTTCACACTGCGCCTGGTATCTACACACATTATCTCACAAAATGTAAACAAATAAGGAGACCGTTGGAAAAAGAAATTTTATAGTCATTTGCTTCTGACTGTAATAAAAAGAACATGTTTGAAGCTTTGCAATATGTTGTTTTACTTTATTAGGGAAACATACTATTTCTAGAACATATACATAAATAATACAGCAGTATAAAACATAATTCAGTGAAGTTTCCTAATATAATCATTTAGTTCTTATAGTATAGCTGTCGCCCGACATCGCACGCATAATAATAATAATTGGAGTGTAATATTAATGTACGTGTGTATGTATATCTATTTATGAATTTATGCTACATTTAATTATTCCGATTATATTATTTCATTATAATAGTAAATGTGGTGTAGATGCAGGTGTGGGTCTGGGTACGCATACCAGCATGTGACACGAAAATTGTTACTCAATTTATACATAATATGTGTATTTATTATTAGTGTTTCTATTTCAAATGAATAAATAAAACTAGAAATATAACAAATAGTTCTGTAATGATGTGCTTACACACATACGGCAATTGATTTTTATTTATATAAATAAGAAAGATAGACAGATAAATAGATAGATTGCATAAGCTATGTATATATAAACGAAAATAAAATTATCAATTGAACTCAAGTACATTTGACTATTATTTGAAGTTTCCGTCCATAGGCGACATTTGCCAGTTTCATCATGCGGGCCGTATGCTTGTCAGCCATTCAAGCGGTACAGTAAAAACTCCACCTTTTCCCGAACACTTGCAAAACAGCTGCCGTCTGAGTTGGGTTGCAAATATTGAATTCTAAACTGTTGTTGCTGTGTGTACTCCAGAGAATAAAGCAAATTTGTACGAAAAGGATGTATTAAATACATATATGTTTTGGAATAGCTTTGTTTATAATATGGTAGGAGCGGCAGTGGGCGCGCTCTGTGCGCGTGTGAAACATCTCCTCAGTATAAATAAACTATGATACAGTATCGCAGAGGAGAGCGCGGCGCGGCGCCGCCGGTCCGACCGCGGCGCCGCGCCGCTCATTGTTGCAACGAGCCCTTTACAACTTAATCTATTTACATATTACTTAACTAATATATTGGTCCTGTCGATATACAATAAAAAATATATCATCTCGTATCAATCTATGTCTATTGTACAATATACGCATCTAGCTAAGCGCGAATTGATCGTTAAGTACATACAACCTAATGTCAAGTCCGCGGCAAGTCGCCACGCGGCTCCTCGGCGGCCCGGCTGCGTTATATATTGCCAACAGTATTTTTTGTTCTCTAATCGGCATCGTCACTTGTTCCGGAGCCGTTGCGACGTCAACTCGTCGTAGTATGCGGTTTATAGTAAACGAAGAGGGCCTATTGACTTACAGCCTATGTAGACGTAACCTCTTCGGAGTAGTAGCTTGACGGCTTTAAACGTGACTCGCAAGCGAAGAGAAACAGTGTGACGTGCCAGGTCGGTGTCGGCGAGCGAGCCCCGGCGCGGCGCCGCCGGCGTGGGCCGGCCTCACATGCCGGACTCCGCGATGCCCTCGTCGTCTGAAGCACGAGACGAATATGTTTATGAGCGAGTACTTTACCAGTCGGTGGCAACACACGCATGCTCGCAGTGGCGGCCCCGGACACGGGTCGGGATATTTGTACACATGAGCAAACATTACGAACATCTGATGTGATGTGATGTGAAGTGACGACCTCCCGGTCAGCGCACAAATATATGTACGCGTGCCCGAGACCGGACCGATCTAGTAACAATCTCACGCTCAAGGTCATATTAATACAATAAAAAACAAGTCGCAGTTAGTCAAGCACAATTTCCGGAGTCGGAGCGAAAGAAGGGAATGAAAAAGAAGATGGAGGGAGGGAAGAGTAAGCAGAGAGAGAACTACAAGCGGTACACAGGGGAGAGGCGCCGGGCGGCGGCGGCGGAGCGCGGGCTGCGGTCGGCGCGGGAACTATTAACAAAATTTGCCTCGAGGACGGCGCCGACGTCGAGCGGCGAGCGGCGCCCGGCCGCCGCCTACACGCCGCTACCCGCCACTACCTGCCACTACCCGCCACCTGTCCGCCACCCAAGCGAACTTGTCACTCTCTTTGCGAACGCTAAATGTGTAGTTTTGCATTTTATAAATTGCCCTACAACTCATTTTGCACAGTTAATGACATTGAGTCAATATTAAACACAAAAGTATGTTTCTAGAGACTTCTATAGATTAAATAGACAAAACTAAAATCAAATTAAGTATAAGTATTTACATCGGTATGTGTGTATGTGTAAAATAATACTGACGACCAACACTCGTACTAATTTTGAAACACATGTATAATCAAAACTAATCTGACATAAATTTCCTACTAGTTGAGACTAGCGCCACATTACACCTATCTTGTGTCGCGAATCTTCCGCAACGTAATACCAGCATGTCAAAATCATATACAATTTGCTGCAGTTCCCTGCTCGACGCCTGCCTCGTTCAGTAGCTATAGACACTGAATATTTTTTATGACAGCTCACATAAATGTTCAAGTTTTCTAAGATCGTAAAATAAAAACAGGTTACACTTTTCATTAGGGCTGTGGGCTTGTTTGCCATTTTATGTTCGCGGCCGGCGTCGACTAGGTCGTGACCGCGACCGTGACGGCGACCTCAGCGACGTCGCATCGTATGGGTCCTCGTGATGCCCGAGACGCACGGCGGTCGAAGTTACGAAGTATACAATGATGGCTGACCTTCGAACGCGGGGTTGAGGTGATGGTTGTGGTTGTGGTGCGGGTGGTGCGGCGGCGGCGTCAGGTCCTGGCCCTCGAGCACGGCCACCACGCACTGGTGGATGCAGATGTACTGCTGCTCGGTCTGCACCATCCACACGCGCTCGCGCCGCATCGCGTACACCATGCCGAAGATGTCGATGTACTCCGCGTGCGCCGCTAGCTGCACGCGCACACCTCAATATTATCGTATGCAGTAACAAGTATATAACCTATTTAAATGTAGTGATAACATATTACAGGTATGAGTGCGTGTGCGTGTGCGTGTGCGTGTGCGTGTGCGTGTGCGTGTGTACCTGCTGCAGCGCCCGGTCGAGCGTGATGAAGGTGCCCGAGCGGCCGACGCCGGCGCTGCAGTGCACGACGACGGGCCGGCCGTCGGCCGGGCAGCGGTCGCGGAACGCGCGCACGAACCTGGCCAGCGTGGTGGGCGGGTCGGGCACGCCGAAGTCGGGCCACGTGGTGAAGTGGAAGTGCTTGAGCACGCGCTGCTCGGCGCCGCGGCACACCATCAGCTCGGTCACGGTCCAGTCCGGGTAGCGGCTCTCGTTGAGCGCGGTGACGGCGATGTCGCCGTAGTACACGGGCCGCGTGTCGTACGGCCAGTAGCGGTCGCACTTCTCGCGGCCCTTCTCCACGCACCGCGTCAGCATCACGATGGCGCGCGAGCCCGACTCCCAGCACATGCGCCAGAAGTCGTCGCGCGTGCAGTGCAGCGGGCCCTGCCACACGCACCACGCCGCTACACTCTCGCACGCCATACCGCCCCATATCTCACCCTCCAAACACACACATGCAAACACAACTGCTCCAAGGTTGAAACACGAATAAGACAGAGGTACCAACATAAGCAAACGACCTTTGTACAAAGTCTACCTCTAATAAAATTAAAAATATTTTAAATATTAGTATCACGTATGCGTTGCCGATTTTGTCTTTAGAGCAAACTTTGGAAGGAAGCTCATTCTATGTTTTAAACATTCATCATCATCATCAGCCTTGAATCGTCCACTGCTGAATATAAGCCTCCCCTTGGGGGGGTTCTGCTAGTAGTTGCCATACTTAGCAGGCGGATTGGCAACCACAGTCAGGCTTTAGAGATGTTTAAGAGGGACGCTGCTACCCATCCCTCGCCCTCCTTCAGTCGCCTCTTACGACACCCACGAGAAAATAAGGGGTGGCCTATTCTATATCGGAATCACACAGCCATTATCATCACCCGGTTTTAAGCATTAACAGTTCACCTGTTAATGCTTAAAACTTATTGGAATAAAAAAAATAAACTCCTGAAAATGGCCCTTCATATCTTGCAACAATGAGATCCCATGCGGGGTAGCTAGAAAGAGGCGCTGTTCGTGTCGGTGGATGGTAGGCGGCGGGCGGAGACCTGCGTGACGATGAACTCGCGCGGCGAGTTGTGGCCAGGCACGTAGTTGGCGTTGATGTAGTCGGAGCCCTCCTCGTCGTCGACGGGCTGCAGCTTGTAGCGCGAGTGGTCGTACGGCAGGATGTTGGTGAACCGGTTTTTGGGCCGGTTGCACGGCAGGTCCGCCGCCGTGCACGGCTGCTCGCGCCCCACGTGCTTCAGCTCTTCGAACTCCTCGCTGAACCTGCACACCACCACCCCAATATACATTTAGTCAGCACTATATGCAGTATTTGCTTTACATACTCGTATATGTATATATAGTCAGTCAGTTAATGTCGGTTCTATATATATATATATGATTAAATGATTTTCTATTAGGGGTAACACTGAAAAAATTATCTTCTAAATCGATTAACTGAGGATCGATATTAGAATGTTTTTTATGCAAATTCACTTAGACAAAAAATGTTTGGAAGGTGTTTGATGTTATTGGATATTTGATTCAAATTATTTTGTTTAATTCCGTTACCATTAGTGTATATATGTGACTGCTAACAACAACTCGAAGATTGACCATCACTATCACTACCAGAAGTTCCACAATCTTCCATATTGGTCATTATTTTTTAATTAGCAGCTATAAATGATGGCTAATTTGGGAGGTTGTGGAACTTCCGGTAGTAATAGTGGGGGTCAATCTTCGAGTGTTGGCAGTCACATACACATACATACACACATATACACACTACTAGTAGTGGATATTTATGCAATTTAGAGTGGCAGATAAGCTAACAGCCCACCCAATGGAAAGTGGTGTCTGTCGTCTATAGACATCAACAACAGTACCATGGACTGGAATACAGTATACTGTTGCATTCATAATATTCCTCATGTGTTTTTATTTCTGAGGATTAAGAATTAAGGGTGTCCCATACCCTATAAATTCACTGTCATATCCCACTGTTCAAATAGTAACATCGCCTCCCGGTTGAAACATAAATGAGACAGAGGTACCTAAGCAAACGACTTCTGTAGAGTGTCCCTCTGCAATGAATGGACTTGCGCAATACAAGGTGTACAATTGATTAGTGGAAGGGATCGCTTTGGTTTGTGGCGAGGTGGCGAGGTGGCGAGGTGGCGAGGTGGCGAGGTGGCGAGGTGGCGAGGGCGCACCTGAAGTCGGAGTCGGCGGCCATGAGGCGGTAGTGGTCGCGGAAGTCGGCGACGCGCACGGGCCGCTGCGCGCGCGGCGCGGGCGGCGGCGCGGCGGGCGCGCGGCGGCGGCGGCGGCGGCGCGCGCGGCGCGGCCGGCGCGGCGCCGCCGCACCAGCAGCAGCGCGCCGCCCGCCAGCGCCGCGCACGCGCCCGCCGCGCACGCGCCCGCCACCCACGCCGTGTTGTCCACCTCTGCCGACACCGCATTCGCACATGTACTCACTCGCCCCACGGCTGTCTACATACTAACTACTCACCTCATCTTTAATATTCAATCTTTACAAAGCTAACTACTTATCTCCTGTTACAGAAACCTTATTTGCCGCAAGTGGCTACTCAATTAAAAAGTAAACTGAATCGTAGTCTGAAAAACAGAGGGAATGTCGAGCTAGATCGGTCATTTGGGAAGGATGGACGAAAGAAGAATTACAAAATTAATATCGAGCCATAATCGAGCAAATAAACGAGGACGTCGGCAGGGATTCCCTCTGTATAGACAGATATCGACCAAGTAGGCGACGTAGTGAAAAAAAAGTTAAAAACAGTCGTAATCGACGCGTTAATATAAAGTGAACTGAACTAATTAATGTGGAGGAAACGAGAGAAGCTTGCTCGGTTACCAGAGTATTCATTTGGCGTTCCACCGTTTGTACGGTAGGTACGCCCGGTGGAAGGCACGCAAAGCATATTGCATACTAAACTACTTTCTCCGAGAAACGAAAGTGACAATATTTTAACATTCTTCAAAATAATTACAAAACGTAATGTCATTAATGTTTAGTAAACATTTACAATTTACACTCCTGAATGTTAACAACGCTCGCTGCGAGGTCACTGTTATCACTTTGCAAATAACCACTCAATCACTACACTTGACTTGCTTTTTTTTGAGAGTCGACATAAAATCTTCAGAATACAGACAAAAGAGAGTATGCGATATTTACTACTATTGTGCTGGTCCATATATTTTTATGGTTTATCCGGTAGAGGGCAGGGGCCGCACACGGCGCACTGTCCCCGGGTAATATCGCACTGCGCCCTAAATTATGCTCAATAAATCCTTTCGCCGAGTAAAGACACTATTGTAAGAGCCACTTGGACAAGGTTTGTTTAAATTGATTATGAACTAATATCGCCTTGTCTGAATTACTAATCACTGATAACGGCCGTTATCGTAGTGATTTCTATTAATGTATCCAAACGCGTATTATAATACATATGCATGGAATATGTCATGTCCGACGAGATACCTACCGTGTGGACGAGGTGAGATCAAGCAAATCGATAGCGGCGTGGTAGCAGCGGGTAGCTGATTACAGATGTACGATATTGATATAACGTGACAAACCTTGGACGCCGATAATAGGGCCTACAGCATATAGCTAAGAACAATTAATTACATAGAAGGAATGATAAAAACTGTAAATCATATGGTTGCCTCCTTTCTTTGTATGCAAATATAATTAGTAAAAAGAGGACGAAAGATACACCATCAGTTGCTTTATTTCTCAATTCATAGTAGGCTAGTGTATAGAAAATGTTTGATATGTCAATTATTTGTCAATGACAAATGTCACATTACTAGATTATATACTCGACACGGTTTATGTAGAAAGTATGCGTGCAGGTTGCATCTGAATTTGGTAGGGTTATACATTTTCTATACACTAGTCTGTTATGAAGTTTTTATTTTATCACTCCTTCTATATAATTCCTTGTTTTTAGGAATAAAGTGTATTTTAAATACTTTAGATAGATTTTACAAATGTATTTTAACTTTCGAGCACTTAAATGATAAAACTGTATAAGAACTGCACTGTAAGTGGCAATAAATATGGACTAAATTAGCCACTCGCCGACTACTACGATACAGGCCTGCGAGCCTAGTGTAGTAATCACTGTATAGTAAATTGTGTACCCGCATTTTAGTTCAAATAAAGTTATTATTATTATTATTTCGAATACGATTTTTTTACATAAATAATTTATTTGAAAGAGTAAGTCATGGTCGAGCAGTAGAGTTTGAACTTAGAGGTACAATCGTAGAAAATGACGTTTTAAAAACTACTTGCGACCAAGTGTGTTTGAATAAAGGTAAAATTAGTCGTATTCTAAATGTAACATTGAATATCTTAGGTGGAGATCGTGCAGGCCAGTGCAGGACGTGCCCGCACTATACATACGGTGGCGGTGGCGGTGGCGGTGGCGGTGGCGTGTGGCGCGTGGCGTACGTACCGGTGTAGAGCACGGCGTAGGCGGTGTCGGCGTACTTGTCGGGCGCGGTGAAGGCCCGCAGCTTGACGTAGTAGCGCGTGCCGGGCTTGAGCGGCCCGTTGCAGTACGTGCGGCCCGCCGCCTCGCAGCGCTCCGCGCCGATCGTGAACTCCTCCACCGGCGACGACGCGAACGGGTAGTACGGCTCCGTCACCTGCGCCGCGACAATCGTACACCAACACACAACTCACAACACACTATTCCATTGTTACCCAATTACAAACAATAAAAACATTCAGTCTTAATTCAATATTCATCTTTAATCCCAAAGATTGTCTACAAGAGATTGCTTTTATACTACACTATGCTTATTGAAAATCCTTTAAAAAGTCCTGCAAAATTGGTGTAATAAAATGCGGGCCATTTATGGCTGCCATTTTTATTTAAAATGATAAAAGTAATCCTAATTCAAAACAGCATTATGAATTAAAAATACAATTCAATACTTTTCATATTTAGTTAATTTAATTACACTGAATTAATGTATACTTTCTATTGTTATATGTAAATGTTTACAAAAACCCACATAAAATTAATTTGGCTCCTACTTTAATTTCTTCTAATACTACTGCATGTTTTAAATCTGTATAAATTCTGAAATATTAATATTCAAAGAAATTTGTTAAATGGAACAAATTCAAAATGCCTGTTACATTTGGGTAATATTATCTGTCCATATTTACAGTATACTGGGATTCATAGATATTGATTTTTGCTTTTAAAATTATATTGATTATATAAGTAATATAGAATATTATGAAGTTTTATTGTTTGGGTTTTTGTTTTTTTGTATATGCTTTTTAATAAGTAAATAATATAATATATATAAACATATATAAGTGGAGTTAAATATTAGAAAGGATTATTGAGTTGTCATCTTAATTGAAATATAATAATAAGTAATGTGTTAATGTTGTGCAAGTACCTGGTAGGGGGGCCAGAGCGGCAGGCGGTGCACGTCGCGCCACGAGGGCAGCGGCGGCGGCGTGTCGTCGCGCGGCTCCTCGGCCAGCACGAGCGTGTAGGCGGTGAGGTTGCCGTTGGCGGGCGAGAAGTAGTCGGCGCGGAAGCGCACGGCGACGGCGGTGGGCGCGCGCCGCACCTCGGCGGGCGTGGCGTGCGGCGGCGGCGGCGGCGGCGCGCCGATGGCCAGGCGGTGCGTGGCGCGCGCCGCGGCGCCCGCGCCCGCGCCGTTCACCGCCCACAGCGCCAGCGAGTAGCGCTCGCCGGGCCGCAGGCCGGCCACGGTGCCGGCGCGCGCGTCCGGCGGGAAGCGCAGCTCGGCGGCGGCGGCGGCGGCGTGGTCGGCGGCGGCGGTGTCGGCGGGCTCGTAGCGCAGCACGAACTGGTGCAGCACGCCGTGGCGGTCGGCGGCGGGCAGGTCCCAGGCGAGGCGCAGCTGGCCGGGCGCGGCGTCTGCCAGCGCGAGGCCGCGCGGCGCGGCGGGCGGCGCCTGGCGCGTGCGCGCCGCCGCCGAGTGCGCGCGCGACGGCGCCTGCAGCGCGCCGCGCCGCCCCGCGCGCACCTGCCATATATACATAGTACATTACTGCAGCGGCCGGCAACTGACGCATTCATGGACGAACGTGCAAATGTGGCCCGAGGCGTAGCCGAGGCACACATACGTGACTCCATCGATGCCTAGTTGTGATCGTATTGATAAATCCAGGATTTATCACCTGTAACGATGTCGTAAACACGCCGAGACGAGCCTGCTTCAAATTTGTCTATCATATCATGACACCATTCACCCTTGCCTGCTTTTGAACATCGGTGAGGTCATGCAGTACCCAGCGTGAAACTGTCCTCCGCACCCGTAGATGCACATTTAGAATCTCGTGAAAGCTTCCTAATCCAATCTGCAGTATATACTGAATCTCTTAATATGTAACTCATCTATTGTCTTAAATCAAATTTTTCACTGCAACACATTTTCTTCCGTAACAGCCGTCAAAGGGCAACCACTCCTTTCTTCATCCCCCAAAGTTAGTCGACCGCGCCTATATTCATTATACCAACGATACACGGTTGCCTTAGAAGGGCCTTCATCCATGAATGCCATTTGAAGTCTATCGTACGATTCATCCGGTTTCAGGCGACACTTAAAATCGTAAAAGATCATAGCGCGAAAATGTTCTCGACGCAAATCCCTATTTCAATGAGACACGGTAATTTTAATTAGCTCGCGAAAAAATGTGGAGGGAAGTTTTGAATTTAGAACGTACCTATTTTTACTTATAAGTAATCATATTTTTAAATAAATTATAACTGACCAGTCCCACATACATATAAACTTTTTCTCGCAATACTTTCTGAGTGACCTAGTATTGTACTATATACTCAAGTGACAATTACTTACCTAATACCTCCGTAAAGTTTCAGCCAATTCAGCTGATCGGTTATTTTATAGCATTTAATATGTGATTCCTTAGATTGGTATAACTTTTTTATTTGTGAACCGATTGAAATAAAACAAGCACCAAATGTTAAACGGAACAACCCGCAACACAGTACTAAAAACCGCATTCAAATCGGTTAAGCCATTTCGTCTACAAATGTACAAACAAGCAGACAAAAATTCTAAAAAATCATTGCTTTAGATTCTATTGCATTCATAGAGCCCCCTATAATAGTTTTTCATATATATCTTCTATGTACAGACAGCGACCGGTTACGATTTTATTATATGAAGTGTTATTTATCGAGGTGAATAATTGAAATTACAATTATCGTGAAATATCACACATTCAATAACAAATGTGATATTATAACACTGTACTTTTGTTGTAATCTAGTAGAAATATTGTTATAGTACATTACTGCAGCGGCCAGCAACTGAGGCATTGATGGACGAACGTGCAAATGTGGGCTGAGGCGTAGTCGAGGCACACATACGTGAGTCCATCAATGCCTAGTTGTGGCCAAGGCTTGTATAGTACTTTTCTCAAACATCTGGCCCCATAAAACACGACAGATATGGATTTTCATTCAACTTTTGCCGGCCGCTGCCCGCATGTATCTGGCCAATACGGCAATTTTGATTTATCTCGAAGAAGATTGTCAAAATAATGCTCACATTTCCAAGCATGTTTCAGAAAAAGTTATTTGAATGCTGTTTACGACAAAATTAGCAATAGTGAAATAATAGAATTAAAGTAGTAACTAGTAATTATTGTAAACTAGTGTATTTAAGATTTGAGTGACATTTTTTTATACTAGCATAATGTCAAATAAGCATACAACCCGTGTAAAAGTAGCCTATGAACACCTGTAATATACAGATTTGATTATTGTTGAACAATGTATAAGAGCAAATAATTAATGCGTTAAATACAGTTCCAATAACAGTGTTGTGTGATCCTTCAAACTATAGTGTATAATTGCAAACTATACGGTAATTGCTGTGATCATTGTTGAGAGCGCCACTATTTATAAATTGATTGTTTATACACTTTTATATATATTTTGTATTTGTACTTTATAAAGGGTTTATTTAGGATACAATTATTTTGTTTTAATTCCAAGGTTGATACTAGATGGCGCTCTGTTCTAAAACACGCTATAATTTAATTCCCTAGAAGTCAGGTTTTAGCATTGTAGATTTGAAATATTTAGTACTGTAATAATTTTTTTTACATTATACTCATTCTCGTATGTTGTGTTTCATTTCGGGGATTTTTTGGGCTGTCTGATACCGCGGCGCGTACCCCATTAATTATATTAAATTATTAATATTTCTAATTATTTATTGTTATATATTGTATTGTATAACATAAATACTATGTAACATTCATTTTGAAAGAGTAACTGATGAGTTTTTTCTCAACAAATATCTACATTCAGAGACTACACTAGGCATAAAAAGAATATAAGAAAATATGAACAATGTAATTGATCTGTCCCTGTTTATTCAGCATTTACGTACATAAAATGAGTATCGGTTAGTGGTACTCACCACCACGGTGAAGGTGTAGAGCGTGTGCGGCTGCAGGCCCGTGATGGTGATGGTGCGGCCGGCGGTGTAGTGCGTCTGCAGCTGGTCGGCGGCGGCCAGGTACTGCACCTCGAAGTCCGTGTACACGCCCGCGGGCTCGTCCCACGCCAGCGTCACCTCGCGCGCGCCCACCGCCGTCGCGTTCAGCTGCGTGATCGGCCGCGGAACTGCGCCCGCGCACACGAAAAAGGTGTAACATCAACCCCTCCTCCCCCCTCCCACATCTTTGTACTCCTTCAATCCGGATATGAGCCACAAGTCTATGAAATTCTTTTGATAGGAAACCAATTAGTGTTTTATCTCCATGTCAGAAATTATGACAATCAAAACACAACGACATCCACACTACTTTTTCACTATGAGTAAGTTTGCAATATGTAACCTACCCTTTTCAATTACAAAAAAATCTAATTAAAATTTTCATTTATTATTAAAAGTATATTGTACTCTGCAACTGCCGATCATTCGCCGGTAGTGTATTGTGGCCGTGTTACGGTTTAAACTGAACGATCTTTACTTGGCTATTTAAGTATACTAAAATAATTGAATTATAGTGTGTGTGTGTGTGTGTGTGTGTGTGTGTGTGTGTCTGTATGTGTACGTAGCGGGCGGAGGATAGTTACAGAGGCGCGCCTGCCGCTGCACGGGGTGCGAGGTGACGTTGCAGGAGACGGTCCACATGGTGAGGTTGTAGAGGCGGCCGGGCACCAGCCCGCTGAACACCACCTGCTGGCCGCCCGCGTCCGCGGCGCGCTCCTCCCAGCGCGGCGCCTCCCCTCCTCCTCCGCCTCCCCCGCCGCCGGCCTCCTCCTCGCCCGCCTCCAGCCGCCAGCGGTACGAGTCGAAGCGGCTCGCCGTCGCCGGCGTGCGCGTGTACACCACTTTCTGCACACACATGCATGCACATTCACTGGCTGCACACCGCGCCGCTCCGATTGCCATGGCGACGCCGCCACAACAACCGCAGCCAGAATACTTACAATTCTCAACAATATTGTTACAATAAGAACAGCCAAAATTGACACAATTTATTTAACGAACAAAATTAATATTTAATGTTTGTCGTCCAATACCACTGAGCAAGAAAAGCAGGACTGCAAGAAACAATCAAGTACTTTAGACAGCCTGGACAACGAAAATATAAGTTCGTACATCTCCTTCACAAGCATAACAGTCGGTATATAGCACCAACTAACATATATACAACCTATCCATGTAGCAAACCTTAATCAAATATGTTCAGCGTAATCGACTAACAAACATATATAGATTTAAATATTCAAACATCTTTAGAAACTTGCACATTTATTATATTGGTAGTATTTCAAATATGACTAAGAGCACCGGATGGCACGTGCCGGACGTGGACTACGTGTATGTTGGACGTGGACGGCGTGTAGCCGTTGCTTACCAGCGTGGTGGAGAGCGTCTCGTTATCCGCGTCTGCGTCGCCGTCCGATTCGTTCACTATTGTCATTTCTGACTGAATCAGTGGACCTGTGTATAATTTTTACGTGAAATTATTAGGTAACATTTATACTATAGGAAAACAGATATCACAATTACATGTAAATAAGATGTTTACTGTTTGAGTCCAGTCATTGTACAGTATATGAAAAAAAAATGAGAAAATTACAAGAACTATTGGCAACATAGAAAATTTTACTAAGTACATTCATGGCACAATAGGTTTTCAGTATTATTTTCCGATCGCTACAGCGCTTGTCGTGTCGAGAGAGTGGTCCAGGCGAGTGTATAAGTGAGTGTATACGCACGCGTCCTCGTGTCCATGGTGAAGAGGTCGCTGGTGAGGTTGTAGGAGTGCGCGGCGATGGAGACGCCGTAGCCGAGCCCGGGCTGCAGCCCGTCCAGCAGCGCGCGCTCCAGCCGCGCGGGCCCCGGCGCCGGCTGCAGCCGCCGCGACTGCGCCGCCGCGCCGTCCGCGCCGGCCGCGCCGGCCGCGCCGCCGGCCGCGCCGCCGCCGCCGCCGCCGCAGCGCGCCGGGCCGGCGGGGTCGTCGCGCGGCCACCAGCGCAGCTCGTACCAGTCGACGCGGCCGGCCGCGCGCGGCCACTCCAGCGTCATGTTGCGCGTGTCGGCCAGCTGCGCCACGTTCGACACCGGGTTGGGACCTGCGGTACGTGTCACACACCACACACCACACGTTACTACCCACTCGTTACATCTACGGCATGCCATCGTCGCCGTTCCAAAATAATATACACAGTTGTAACTTACAGTTGCAAAAAAAGCGATGATGGCATTAAATGAAAATAAAATACGCCAATTGAAAGTAAATAGTTTGAAATGAAAATTTAAAATTATGGGGAAAAAACGGATAATTTTCCTTTTTTTAGGACTTTAAAAATCACCCAGTTTAGTGACAAAGGGTGAGGGTGACCTTGTTGATTATATAAAATAAATCATAAATAGATCGTCGTCAGGATACTGAATGACATGGAGCAGTCAAGTAGTCAAGAAATAAGTAATATAAGATTGGAACATTATCTATTAAAAATAGATTAATTGTAATTTCTGTATTTAACTAGTCTGGCCATAAATACTGCTACATAAAAACTTTTTTTTTCAACTTTTTAATTATTTTAAAATTAGAAGAAGTTTATTATTTTAAAAATTTCTTTCGATTGCGCGCCATTTCACATATTTTTTCTTGTTCGTTGTCAAATTACAATATGGAATGGGGTGTTAAAGAGAATAGGATTGCAGTGATAGAAGATAGAAGTAGTACTTCATAAAAAAAATGCTTTTTAATTTATAACAGAACATATGGCTAGACTAGGTATATACAGATATATTTATAATGGAAAAAAGGAAATATAGCATACATAAAAAGAGTCGTAACTTACGGGAGAAGACCCTGCTGGAGGGCAGACATGTGAAAAGAGCGTATCGATCAGTGTTAGCGATATGAGAGGGCGGGGGTGAAGGTGCGGGGGCGAGGGTGGTGGCGAGACTCACGGACGGTGTGGTAGGCGGAGAGCGGCGCGCCGCTGAGCACGGCGTCGCCGGCGGCGGGCTCGCTGGCGCTGTCGAGGCGGATGTGGTAGCGCTCGCCGTGCGTCATGCCGGCCAGCTCGTGCCGCGCGGCGGCGGCCGGCAGCGGCGGCGGCGCCAGCCAGGCGGCCGCCTCGCTGGCGCGGTACTGCAGCACGTAGTGGCCCACGGCGCTGCCGCCGCCCGGCCCGCGCCAGCGCACCTCCACCGCGTCCGACGTCACGCGCTCCACGTGCAGCTCGCGCGGCGGCAGCGGCCCTGCGCGTCACCACACACACCACACACCACATCTCACCATCTCACCATCTCACCTGGTAGGCTGGGTTCTCTCTACATCAACCACTGTGTGGCGTTGTCGAAAGAACCCAGTTACAATTATAAGTGAAATAATTTGTAAAATATAAAAAGCGGGTCCTTGTAACCTTAATACAAAATTATTTATTATTATATTATAGGGACAGAGCAGGAGATGTTAGGCGAACAGTCGGATACGTATCGTGGAAGGAACACTCACGGACTGGCTTGAGCACGGTTTGGGGGTCGCTCTGCAGGCCGTGGCTGACGGCCGCCACCTGGATCTCGTACACGGCGCCCGGGAACAGGTCCTCGAGCGTCGCGTTCGTCTCCTTCGTCTCGAGCTGCACACAACCGACTACATGCAACGCGCACCGCCTACACGCATACTCGTACAGGTACGGGCACGGGCGGGCAGAATACTCACCGTGAGGTATTCGGCGGGCGCGGCGGGCGCAGTGGTGTGGCGGCGGTAGTGCAGCACGTAGCCGTCCTGGCGCGAGTTGACGTCGGAGTGCCAGACCAGCGTCAGCGAGCGCTGCTGCGGCGTGGTGGACAGCACGACAGGCGCCAACGGCCGCGTGGCCACGCTCACGGCGCTCTCGTTGGACTCGGCGCCGCGCGACACCGCGCTCACCTGCAACCAGCACGCCACGCGTCACACGCCGCCCACGCAGCCCACGTCGCCCACGTTACCCACGCCGCCCGCAGCGCGCTCTACTCACGGTGATGGTGTAGTTGCGGCCGGGCAGCAGCGACTCGAGCGTCACGTTGGTCGCGGTCGTGGTCAGCGTGTTGCTGTCGTCGCGCGACGGGCCCGCCTCGTGGTACGATATCTGGACACAGGGCGAGGGATCGATCGGTAACTTGTAGTGACGACGAGTAATAGGTAATACATATTTCGCAACTGTAAGTGCGCGGCCGTACCTTGTACTGGTCCTGGGTACTGCCGGGGGCCGGGCTCCAGCGCAGGCGCACCACATCACCGGTTGTGGGCTGCACGCTCAGCTCGCGTACCGGCAGCGGCTCTGCGGCGAGTACGTGTCAAGTAGTGAATATTGTAAGACGCCGCACGACATACTTATACACGTTTAGTTATATTTTAAAAATTCTCAATATTAAAAAAAAATAGTTTAATATTATGTTCAACTAACTTATAGAGAAAGAGATTTATAATTGTATTTTTTACATGCATGCATGCATGCATGTCTGGTATATTTGCTAAATTTTAATAAATTAAGTTCAATTCGATTGGTTGCTTATGGAATCTCCCATGTTGATTCTATAAGCAGGAGATAATTTTTTAACGAGACAAATTTGTTAAAAGTAAGCAGTATAATATGGCTTGTATGGAAATAACGTTCCCTGAATGTGTGCATTTATCGAAAATATTCAATTGTACAAAAGGTAGCGCCGTAAATGAGCAGCTAGTAAACGAATGGATTGCGGTACACTAGTATCAATTATATTGGTGATTTCTACGTGTTTAGTATTGTAGATGCAAGCAAGGGAGAGGCAGGTGGTCGGGCGGGCGGTGTACTCACTGAGCGTGAGGTCGAGCGTGGCGGGCCAGGAGGTGACCTTGCCGGACATGGTCTTGACGATGACGGTGTAGTGCGCGCCCGGCTCGAGCCCGTCGAAGGTCCACTCGGGCGGGTCGCGGCGCGCGCGCAGCACGGGCGCGGCGCGGCGGCCGGCGGTGGTGCCTGCGCCGCTGGTGGTGGAGACCGACACCTGGTAGCGCTCGAACTCGCTGTCGTCGCCGGGCGGCAGCCAGCGCACGCGCGCGGCGGTCTCGGCGCGCGGCGCGGCCAGCGACAGGTTGCGCGGGCGCAGCGGCACGGTGCGGTACTGCGCGGTGGTGGGCGCGGACGCCTCCTGCTCGGACACGGTCTGCACGGAGATGTTGTAGGCGCGGCCCGGCACCAGCCCCTTGAACGCGGCCTGCGCCGGCCCGGGCGGCTCGCCCTCCTTCTCCACGTACTGCTCCGACTCCTGCGCGTCCGGCGGCACGATCGACACCTGCGCACAGCCGCACCGCCGCACCGCCGCACCACCGCCACGTGTTCACATTCACATTCACATTACTAAATACATATATACACCTTCAAACTATTCATCAAATCAAATGTTACGGAAACTATTTTGCAATACTGTTTTCGTAATGTTAACGTTAAACAACCATCGCATGTAGTAGACTACGCTCACTTCAAGGCGTATCCAAACCTCATACCGATTAATTTAATAAAAAAAAGGAGAAAGTAAAGAAAAATTATTGAATGACAATATAAGTTGCCAATGATTTATAAAATCAAATAACAAAACGAAAATGGGAGGATAACGTGCGCGTTGCCGACTCTTAGAAACCTTTATATACCCTTTATGAAGAACTCCATACTGCAACACCTCGGAAAACCTTGGCAGGGAGCTCATTCCACAGCTTGAGCGTTTGCGGAAGAAAATTTCCTACATTGCATAAAATGGAAAATTATCCCTTTTCCCCTCCACTGAGCGCATGTAGCGAGTGAGTGGCATGGATAGTAAGGCGAGGGGAACAGGGCAGTACCTTGTAGTGGGTGTAGGCGCCGGGCGGGTAGGGCGGCTGCCACAGCACCAACAGCGTGGTCTCGTTGCGGAACCACACGATGAACTTGCCCGGCGTGTTCGGCCCTGGAACCGTGCAACGCACACAAATATACATTACTGTTTACAGGTAGATGTTAACAGAGGCTCCATTATGAATTATAAATTAATAAAAGGGACAATCTTTCTATTTATGTAAATAAATTTGTAATTCTTTCTTATTAAACCAAAAGTTAATATGAATTTATTTTTTTGTAGCTTTAGTAGTTTATAGTGAAGGATAAGTCTATTAGGACGGACCTTTTTTCTTTTTTTTTCATTGCGAATAGGCAGCCATGAATGTAAAGACAGTGATTCGACGATAACCTTACACATTGAGCCTCGCACTCTCTGGCAAGAGTACTGGCGCGCCATCGGCGTACGACACACGACACAGTGACAGTGATCACGACCGACAGACGACGTTACAAACGAGCACCGGCTACCACTCGACAGACGTACACAACGTGAAATACAATAGAAACCACTAGCATCCTTATAAGAAAGCGTTCTACTAGGAAATCTGAAGATTTTTCCATAAGAAACTCGGGTGCATTACATGACAGCAGGACACAATGTTGCTTTAGAAAAATATTCACCGGTGAAACACTGCATACATTCCATATACGAGTACATATAAACACATGCGGATCACAAACTACTGCATTGCATTACTGACTTCAATTCTATGACTTATACAAACAAACTATTGCAAAATAATACTATTTCTAAAACTCTTCATATAGATCTATTTTCAAAAAATATAATATCGGTGAGAGACCAACTGAGTAGGAAATTTTTTTTTATTCTTAGTCAGTTTGAATAACTATTGTATGTATAAGAAGGCCATATTTTAATCAAATATTTACATTTAATTGTTACTATGTATTTTATTCATTATTATTTTATTTTTGTAGTCGTTCCTCTTGTTTGTTCATATCTTTTTGTTAACTCGCTATTTTTGTTGCTTTGTGTACAGCGCCTTGTATCTATATTGTTGCTACTTGTGAAAACCTATTAGTGGCTTATTTTATGATCTTAAACTGTATCTTTTTGCTCTGGTGTAGCCCTGGTTTTCCTATGAATAAATAAATAAATGAATAAATAACTAAAATGGTGGGATGGAACTACTATTCTACTGAACAAAACCAATATTACATATTGCAATAAATACATAATATAACATGCGACAGGCACAAACATGTAGTGGACTTGACATGAAATATTTTATATTGATTATTTATATAGCTAACTGTGAAACCTCGTACATATACAATGGAGACGGTATCCATTAAGCGACATATTTAAATTTCTACAGGTACATTAAATACAAATACATATTGTAACAATGACATCCAACATACAGAGAGCGTGACAAAACAAACATTGCTCAAACTAAAAACGGCAGAGACAACAACAATACCAAGTGGCTATGAGTCACGACGTACTGACCGAGACGTAACGAATCCGGTCCAATGCGAGTATGCGAGCATGCGCGCGGGCAGCGACTACGAGCGGACACAGGGAGGCGAGGCGGTGCGCAGGCGCAGTGGGGACCCATCTCACCAATTGTCGGCCGGCCCTGAGCGGCCAGGGAGAACAACGTCAGTAAGTGTTGGTAACACATGTACATCTAGAAAAATATTATTACAACCCAAAACACAGGACTGTGTACCGCATAGTCATAGACAATAGCTGCCAGGAGATCAAATGGTAGACAAATTTATATCAATAAACACAGCATGCTTGCAATGGTTAAACAAAGGATATGATGGGCTCACTGGTCCAGACGTCGAGGTAACCCTAGCTGTCATGTCGACCACCACGTGGTTCCCCCTGGAAACTGGCTTCGCGCGGTTAGAGATAAATGAATATTTTATATTTGCTTTAATAAGAAAATTTTCAATACCTCGGATTACATTTTTCGAGTTTTCGAGTTTATACGTTACAAACAACCAAATGTGACCATTTTGTGTTACTATGGCGTACTCACGAGAAATTGTGTAACTTCTTTTACGTTCTATATATATATATATATATATATATTTTTTGTATATGTTTTGATTTATTTCTTTATTAAATATGTTATTTGTGTGCTGTAAGTGATGCAAATAAATTATAATATATCTATTTATTTAAATGCAACTAATTTTGGTGATATTTATTTGAAAAAAATGTGACTTTGTATAAGGTAATGTACCTTATACAAAGTCACATTTACAAGGTAATGTACCTTATACAAAGTCACATTTACAAGGTAATGTACCTTATACAAAGTCACATTTACAAAGTAATGTACCTTATACAAAGTCACATTTACAAGGTAATGTACCTTATACAAAGTCACATTTACAAGGTAATGTACCTTATACAAAGTCACATTTACAAGGTAATGTACTTTATACAAAGTCATATTTACAAGGTAATGTACCTTATACAAAGTCACATTTACAAGGTAATGTACTTTATACAAAGTCACATTTACAAGGTAATGTACCTTATACAAAGTCACATTTTTTACAAATTGCTACAATTGGAAATGATGGTGAATTTACAGATATGTATACAATCATTATGGTGCAGCAATAATAAGAGGTATACAAGATTGTGTTCCAATCAATAAATATAAACCGACTTCAACTATAGCTAAACCAGTCGTTGTACTTAATTATGGTATATTGTTCATAAAGATAAGTAAAGGAACATAATTACGTAATCTTAACATACAGTCCGCACATCGACACATTCAGATATACAATACATCCATACTTAACGCACACAAACACCCTACACGCCGTCACCTATCGTTTTATAATATAAGTATCAGTAAAAAGGGATTGTTCCTTCAGTTCACAATAAAACAATGTAGTAAGAAGACGTGTCATTTGATTTTCTAAAACTGATCAAGCAAACATATCATGGGACCTTAAGTGCTACAACACCAGTTATTACGAGTACAATTTAAAAACTAAACTAGTGAACAGATTTTGATAAAATTTCCACGAAGCCAACCTGAAACCATTCACATAAAAAATAATTTTCCATATCGGTTTACAACTACTACTTTTGTACAAAGTCTACCAGAGAGAGACTGTACAAAAGTCGATTGCTTGGGTACCTCTGTCCCTTTCGTGTTTAAACCGTAAAGCAGTAGTGTTTGCATGGTTGTGTTTCGGTTTGAAGGGTGGGATATGGCGTGAATTTACTGGGTACAGAGGAATAACACCTGAGTCCTCAAGAATGGCAACGCATAGGGGGTATCATGAGCGAAACTGTATGCTCTGTTATGTCCATGGTACTGCTCATGTTTATAGGCGACGGTTACCACTTTCCATCAGGTGGGCCGTCAGCTTGTTTGCCATTCTATGATGTATAAAAAAAAAACTGCCGTCAGTAATTTCGAGTTATGAGGTAAAAATTCAGAGAAGATTTACATTTATATAAAAAAACACGTTAGAGAGGAACTTCTGGCAACTTCTGTTATTGATATATTTGTTTTCTTATTATATATATGAATATATGTATGTATGTGTATGTATATTATATATATTTTTATGTTAATCATCTGCTCTCGATTGTTTGGTTTGGTTTATTGTGGAAACTTTAATGATTTATGTTATGGTTGTGTATACTATTTTATATGTCTCAGATATTGTATGTTTCCCTTTTAAAGTAAAATAAAAAACCTTCTTCTTTTTGAAGTCGGTTCAAAATAAAACAATTCGCCACGCGGGCGGCGGCGAGTTAGAGCCACACATGTATAACCGACGGTACACAAATATCGGAATATTTACAAGTTATTTATCTTTTTTTTATACAACTTAAAATGGCAAACAAGCTGACGGCCCACCTGATAGAAAGCGGTAACCGTCGCCTATAGACATGAGCAGTAGCATGGACATAACAGCGTATACTGTGTCGACCATGATACCTCCTCATGCGTTGCCATTTCTGAGGACTCATGTGTTATTCCTCTGTGCCCTATAAATTCACTGCCATATCCCACCCTTCAAACCGAAATACAGCCATGCAAATACAACTGCTTCACGGTAGAAACACGAATCTTGTGAACAATTGGTATTGCTCACAGTACCGTGTGCGCTGCGAGTATGAAAGGGAACAATGAACACGCCGCGGCTCGCTACGGACCATCTGACGTAATGACCTGACAAATCAGACAGCACAATTGTCGTTTTGTTAGTTGGCGGCCAACAACTTGAGTGACACCATACACCGGTGTTTCCCATCGTGAGGAAGTTAATAGTTAAGGGGGCAATTAAAAAATGGACTTGAAGAGATTTTAACCCTCTTGCTCCGGGCCATTTAAATACAATGCTATGAGTATATATCGGTGCCAAATTTAACAAAAAAAAGTAAATTTAAAAAAAATGCTGTAAATACTTATTAGGTATAATTTCGTTTGACGTTACCAAAATATGAACTGGGCGATTAGAGTCGTCAAGTAAACTTTGTCGGGAAAAATTATGTATGGGGGCATAAAAATTTTAAGTGTTCAAGTGGGGCATGGTACAGAAAAGGTTGGGAAACACTGCCATACACAATGAAGTTTGCGCAGTACCATTTTCAACCAACTTCAAAAAAAGAAGACGTCTCAATACGGTTGCATTTTTTTAAAGTCTAGTACTTCATAACTCTGCCATTTATAAACCGATTTGGAAAATTCCTTTTTTTTTTGTCTGAAAGTATATACTTTCGGGTTCATCCCACAGAAATTCTATCAAAATCGGTTGAGTAGTTTAATTTTTAAATTAAAATAACTGGTTTCGCCCCAACTGAAGTCGTTTTTTAGTGGAGAACAATCATAACAATTTTAAATACATAATTATGTATATAAAATTGCAGGTCATGTGGGATAAGACCGGTAAATAATCCGCCGTTATTTGTCGCTACATACGTAGAAGCCCAAGTGACATATTCTCACAACGAGTCATGTTTATTCATTTACTTAACTCTTTATTGCACGAAAAACATAAAAATAAACAATGACATATAAACAATTCAACTGAAATACAGTAGCATGGAGTACAAATTGAAATATAATTTTTTTTTTTATACAACTTAGAATGGCAAACAAGCTGACGGCCTACCTGATGGAAAGTGGTAACCATCGCCTATAGACACGAGCAGTACCATGGACATAACAGAGTATACTGTTTCGCCCATGATACCCCCAATGCGTTGCCATTCCTGAGAACTCAGGTGTTATTCCTCTGTACCCTGTAAATTCACGCCATATCCCACCCTTCAAACCGAAACACAGCCATGCAAACACAACTGCTTTACTGGTCTTATCGCTAGGGCAATCTCTTACAGACAACATTTGGTTAAAGGAGAACAGATAGAAGTGGGTTATATTTAGCTGATCATGCCGGATCGTGTGCCCCCCACACCTGTGGAGGTCCCAACTGTTAGTTTACATTAAGTTCGATCGCAGCGTCACTTGATGTCACGTGACGATAACTTAAATTTCAAACTTCATTTGCATCTAGTCTAAACATGATCGGATATGAAACATTTTTACAGCCGTTGATTATAGTATAATAGGTAAGTTTTTATAATATTTATAAAGCAATTATAAGGTATTGTCAAACTCGATTCGTTTCCGCCTAATGTCCACATACGTTATGAATACATTTTATTAAAGTTAACAAGGCATTTGCATACGAGTTTTAAATTATTTGTGCTTAACATTATGGGGATACGCAGGGGGGAGGAGATTGTTAGTGATGTGGGTAACAGTCCCATTAATATTGAATATACTCTGTCAGGTCGACTTCCACGCGCCCCCCCCCCCCCTGAAAACCACCATGATGAATTTCATGTGTATTCATCACGATGAGCTAACTGACCTGTATTTTCATTCTCACCTATCATCTCTCACTGGTGGCCCGCCAGTGTATACCGTTAGCGCGGGCGGAAATACATTATCATCCATTAAAAAAAAAAACTATGGAGATGCACACTGTAAAAAGTAATGACATGATAGTGAATGTATTGAAACAGATCAATGGCAGAATTCAATTTCTCATATTGAGATGCCCCATTTCATAGGAAGTATTTCGAAACAGAGCGCAGGTGGTGGTGGTGGTGGTGGTGGTGGTGGTGGTGTGTGTGTGTGTGTGTGTGTGTGTGTGTGTGTGAGTGTGTGCGTGCGTGCGCGAGACTCACGCGTGGTGAAGTTGCGCGAGGCGTAGGCGGCGCTCTCCTTGTCGTGCAGCAGCGTGAAGGCGTGCAGCTGGTAGGTGGCGCCGGGCGCCAGCTCGGACAGCGTGTGCGTCCAGTTGCCGGCGCCCGCCACCGTGATGTTCTGTGCGCCGCCGCCGCCGCGGTCCGTCAGCGGGATCACCTGCCGCAAGCACCGCGCACACTCTCACCGCCACGTACACCGGCGACACGCTCGCCCCACATCACGGTTAACCACAAAAAACAACTAAATTCACATTTATGATATAGTTGTAGAAATTTCACTCGCCTATCCCCCTTTTTAGGGGGGAAGGGATTGTTAGTAATGCGGGCTACCAGTCCCATTGTTATACCCTGTCGGGTCGACCTCCACGCGGTTCCTCCTAGAAACCATCGTGCTGAATTCCAGGCGTATTCATTACGATGCTTTTTTCATTATCCACCTATCATCCCTCACTGGTGCCCCGCCAGCGTATACCGTCAGCGCAGGTGGAGTTACCACTCCATTATCATCCATTAAAAAAATCTCCTTTTTATTATATAACATACAAGGCTGAGAGTATACTTTTAGCGTAAAATCCGCCTTGTACACATATATGTATTAAAAAATAAAAAATGCTCTCGACCGTAGCCAATATTCAGGGAGTACTTACACCAACACTCGTGTATGAAAGTGAATAGTGGCAAAAGAAGTACGAAAGCAGAATAAATGCTGTAGAGATGAGAGTTTTGAGGAATGGACGTGGTTTTACATTAAAAGACATACTGAGATATAGTATGATTGGAGACAAGTGTAGACTGCAAGACGATGTAATGAAAAAGATTGAAAATGGTTGCGTTGGTTTATCTGTTTTGAGAGAATGGATGAAAGAAGAATTACGAAAGCAGTTTATTGGGTACAAATTAATGGAGATTTCAACAAGCACGCCCTAGATGGACGTATGTCGATCAAATAGGCGACGTGCTGAAGGAGGACCAAATTTAAAGTACCCGTAATTGGCGAGCGTGTATCCCTTTCAGACCCAAGATTTTTTTCTTTCAGATTAAATATATTTTCGTGTTTTGGAGCCAAGCCATCTTGCCGGCACGCACGAGACTACTGCACCACCTAACCGCTAAAATGATTTCTTATTGGCTGGTTTAGAATCTCGCTATCATATTATTTCAGCTTCGTGCGTAAAATTGAATTGCGCGCGGTTTTAAAATTTTTTAAAGTTACAACTCAGCCCGTATCGTTCAGGTCTGAAAGGGGTATGAATAGATTGATAAATGTGGAGGAGACGAAAAAAGGCTGTTTAAATCGGAACATTTGTTGTTTTATTGGTTTCGTTGTATTTGTAATAAATTCTGATTTAGTACGTTTCCTGCATTTTGGTTTAATAAATTATGTGCCAACTAGGAGATATTTGTGGTTAACCGTCGATATGGCCGTTAATCTTCGCTTCAATGAGTTTAAAACAAGAGAGACTGTTGGCGACAGACCTCCTTTCATACAAGTTTACCTTTTTTAGATTTATATTTTTATATTATGAATATGTGTTTGATACTTCTTGAGTGACATATTGTTGTTATATCGTGATTGTCTTAAGAAATTATACTGGTAAGCCTCTCTCTTAATATTATTTTATTATTGTCGCTGCCCTCCTCTCCTACTAGCGTCGTTTTTAGAGACTATATAGTCTGTATCTCTGACTATATATAATATATCTGTCTCCAGTGAGGATTGCACTGGTGACCATCTATATCTATCTATACTTATAAATCTGTAGGGAGGTCAATTCTGTACATGAAATATATTTCCAAAATAACTATCAGGGGGTGATTAGTGATCGATACTGATGCCAAAAATGCAATCAGTAAAATTTTTGTCTATCTGTCTGTATGTTCGTTATAGAAACAAAAACTACTAGACGGATTTTAACGAAACTTGGTACAATTATTCTTCATACTCCTGGGCAGGTTAGCGATCAATAGGAGCAGAGCAGAGGGAAATGTTGGGAAAACGGGAGAAGTTAATCCATTTTTCTTCTTTCGCGTGTGCAGCCTTAATGGCCACTTTTTAAATGTAAAAATATCCACCCGTGCGAAGCCTGGACGGGCCGCTAGTATTAAATAATCATTGTCCTCATTAAATATGATAACGCGTGAAGCAGTTGTGTTTGCATGGCTGTGTTTCGGTTTGAAGGGTGGGATATGACGTGAATTTACAGGGTACGGAGGAATAACACCAGAGTCCTCAGGAATGGCAACGCATAGAGGGTATCATGTGCGAAACAGTATACTCTGTTATGTCCATGGTACTGCCCATGTGTATAGGCGACGGTTACCACTTTCCATCAGGTGGACCGTCAGCTTGTTTGCCATTCTAAGTTGTATAAAAACAAAATATGATAACGAAGTTACTTATGAGTATACTTCACGGTGACAAACACGGCACTAGACTTTTCGGGTCACATGCATTATTACTTGATGCGGTTGACGTCATTGTTAAATGTCCGTTACATACTGCACCGAACACCTCTGACTACTGCTTCTACCAGCAAACACAGCTGTGCTCCCATTTGTAGGGTGTGTGAAGAGTAAATCTACAGGAAAACTAATTACTGCTTCTTAAAACTATATTTTTCACTAATATATGAACAGTGATTTGAACAGCGCAGTTTGTCAATTATGATTTTCTTACTGTCGAAATATTGGCCGAATGCGGCGTACGCACCTTAAATCTGAAGCCGGTGTAGTCGCCGTGGACGGGCGGCGACCACGATATGGTGGCCTGCTTGTTGCGACCGAGCGTCACTGTCAGGTTGGTCGGCGGCTCAGGTGCTGAGGGACAACAGTGCAGGAGTAATGACTTCATGCAGTATATGTCTAATGAATATACGAGTAATCGAAATGAAAAATTTAAAAGTCGCTTCCCGCTGTCTGTCTCTATACATGCTTAGATCTTTAAAGCTATGCAACGGATTTTGATGCGTTTTTTTTAATAGAGTGATTCAAGAGGAAGATTTATATATATATATATATATATATATATATATATATATATATATATATATATATATATATACATATATATATATATATATATATATATATATATATATATATATATATATATATATATATATATATATATATATATATATATATATATATATAATATAGTATTGTGCTTTTCAGCGCGACAATTTTTTTCAATTGTATGTTCATACTTTAGTCAGTATTAAGGTTAATTTTTAAATCACTTTGTAGTATATTTGGTATCAGTATTGCACCCGTGAGAAGCCGGGGCTCGTCGCTAGTAAAGTATATCCTCTTACTACTACTAAATAAGTAACGGAGACATCAAATTACCCGTAATAATGGTTTGATTCCACGTCAGGAGGTCTGCAAATGTGGCGTTGGAGTAGTAGAGCATGAAATGGTACTTGGTGCCGGGAAGCCCCTGGAAGTTGATGGTGGAGGCGCGCGCCGGCACGGTGTAGTTGGGCGCGGGCGAGCCGTGCGGCGGCCGGTAGTCGAGCCGGTAGCGGCCGCCGTCCGCGCCGGCGTCCGCGCCGCCGCCGCCGCCGCCCGATCCCGGGATCTCGATCACCAAGTCGGCGCCGTAGCTGCTCTGCCACGTGCCCTGTCGCCGCATGTCAGTGAATGTAGTTCTAATAACTATATACTAGTCAACTTATAGTCAAGTTACAAGATATGTACATACATAGCATCAATAGATAAAAATAAATAAACTTTTATTGAGACATTACAAAATAAATATTATTAATATTGTATTTGATACGGATATAATTAGTCCATAGCTTTCCACTCATTCTCTCCAAGAAGTCTTTCTATCTTTTGTTCTGTCTACCTCTACCTCTTTTCCCCAAACTTGGTTGCCAAATGAAGACCCTCCTACTCTATTTATGTCATGAATTGTGTACCTGGTCCATCCACATTAATATATTATTATTTACATTAGTTATTTTTGTTATTCTTCTAAGGTCTGTATTTCTTACTTCCTTCTGAGGTCAATACTCCTCTCCATAGCATGCTGGCAAATTAAAAGTTTTCTATTTGGACTGTTTGCAACAGTCCAAGTGTGACAACAGTAAGTTAATGCTGGTATGATACATGATTCAATTACTTTTCTTTTAAGATTGATGTTAAAATTCTTGTTTTTCATAACTTCTTTTAATGACCAGTATTGTTTCGATGAGTTATATGTCTATTATTTTTTTGAGGATGGTATAACTTGCCCCAGGTAGACAGTTAGGTCTTGGCATGCTATTGTTTTACTGTCCACAATTATTTCAACCTGTTTACAATTAATTAAAAGTGTATTCTTAGTACTCATCGATAGTCAGACTAGCTCACTCTCCGCACTCAGCTCCTTGATCATTGTTCTGAGATCCAGTAGCATTTTTGCCAATAAAACTATGTCATCTGCAAACCTCAGATGTGTTAGTCTGAGTCTTTTTATTGCTACATCCACATTTTCCCAACCTACTTGGTGAAAGGTGTATTCTAATGTTGCTAAAAAGAATTTAGGTGATAATGGGTCTTCTTGGCGAACACCTCTTCCCATTTTTAGAATGTTTCTTTGTTTTTAATAAATATCATATCTATGTTTAAATAAAAGTGAAATTTCAATTTATTGTAAGATAATATTGTACATAATGTAAATGGTAGACCTTTATACTCAACATGTTAGCCATGTTCTATGTGAAACTATCTATGCATAATAAAGACACTAAACAAGTACACAAATTGTTTGGAATATTGCTTATTGCACATGCTTGTTAGACTGTAGATGATTTTCAATAGATACATTTGTCACAATTGCATTGTTTGATTGTGACATCTAATAATTATATTAGATTTAATAACTTACTAAATATAATAAATCACTATGCTTTTTGCTATAGATTTCAGAAATAGGAAAATTAAAGCAATAGACCAGTTCTAGATTGCAAATAAATATTAAACATGCTTACATTGGATTTATGTCTGATTGTCAGGAAAACAACTGTGGAAACCGCATCAACATTTGGTGCAGTAGTTGTTATGAGATGTCAGATAAGTGTCAGTCACTAGCACAGTGAATATTAGTCAAGGATAACTATAAAGTGACTTACTGTAGTGTTGGACCAATGCTAGGTTTCACAACTGAAACTAAGATCATATTACGGCTTCAGGGGGTCTACCATGAAATGAAATTCCGAATCAAATTTGTGTTTTTGTTCATACCAAAATCAACCCTATAAATGAAATGTAGCCTAACATTACATTTGTCATAAATCCTACCATAAAAGTAAAAAGGAACGATACTTTTGCATTTTTAATATTTTTAAATGGTATGTATCAAGTAATTTTAACATAAAATTTTTGGTTTCATTCGGATCCGAAATTTCATAAAACATTTCATGGTAGGCCCTCTGTTCTAGTTTTGGCTTTTTTTTATGGCATCTTGAAGTAATCTATTTTATTGCATTCCCTACTTCTGAAATCTATGCATATGAAGTAGAGGGCAAAAAGCTAGTGACATATACAAAGAAATAAGTTTATAGTAACAATTAATTCATTGACCCATTTATTGTCATCAAACATTTTACTACTCAAATATACATAATTATAATTGTTGTTGGAAAATTAAATGACTATAAGGAGGAATGTAATACATAGGAATACAATGTGAAACTATGACCTGGGATAAGTAAGCCCTTGATAGCGATATAAGGCCAGCTCTGTCCCGCCAATCCCCTCTAGAAATACTAAGCTCAATTTCAAATTAATTTAAGCACAATTGAGCTGCTTTTTCATCCTTATCTGCCATTCATCACTGGTGGGATGGGAGCAGTAATAACTAACAGTATATGCTGAGGGAGATCAGCATATAATGTTAGCATAGACAAGAGTTACTATTACTTATTACCCTTTAAAAAAGTACCAGGTATTTGTAAGAATCTTCTAGATATGGCGAATTCAAAGACACAAAATTGAAATGGAAAGTTCGGTCGCATACTATCGCGTTAACCCTCGCTACCTTTCAATAATTCTATTGACATCCAATTATAGAGAGACTGAAGAGTCACTGTATACTTCTTTTAGAGTTCAAACTGAAGATATGCATGAATGGAAAGAATATTATTATAAACAAAATGATGTAGTGTGTTTGGAATCAATATGGTATCATATTTGTCTGAACATTCTAAGCTTGACATTTTCGTTCATACGTACGTACAATCATTGATGGTGCTAGTATATTCAACACCGTACTCACAACAAAAACGAGGCAAGCTAGTGCCAGGGCCATGGCGTAGCGAGTGCACCTATTTGTTGCTTGCACAATCGACCTCTTCCACATCATTGAAGGTGATTTTCTGATTTCACATGACACTTTCTCCACTAAAACATTAGAATATCCACGTGAAAAACAACATTTTTTTCTTTCCTGCAGTATAGTCGTCATATCATCGTGAGTTTCTTAATATATTAAGCTTCGAAATAATTGCACACTGAGAATAATATTAAAGTCAAAACCAAAGACTAAAAAACATTGCAATCTTGTTTTCATGACAATGTTTTGCGATGTCAATCTTATTCCTGTTATATAAGAAAAGGCGTTTACCCCAATTATAATTCAATAATAGTTCGCACAGGTAAAAATGTATTAAAAGAACATAATGAATATTATTAATTTTAGAAAATAGGCAGAGTACAATATATAATGGAACATAATATTAAGACATCTGTAAACGGTTAAAAATGAAAACTTAATAGAGTTACTTATAAACTTATAACGTTACTTATAAACCCATACTTATAAATATCTGCTAATTTTCAGAAATATAATTATATGAATGATATTCTAGGTGTATTCATCACGATGAGCTAACTGACCTGCTTTTTCAGAAGAGAAAAGAATTGTTAGAAATGGAGTTTGACAGCCCCATTACTAATATGCCCTATCAGGTCGACCTCCGCGTGGTTACCCTAGGAAACCATCGTAAACCATTCTTATAGAATTCGTCACGATAGCTAACTGACCTGCTTCATCCTCACCTATCATTTTTCACTGTGTGCCCCGCCGGTGTATACCGATAGCACGGGTGGGGTTACCGTTCCATTATCACCCATTAAAAAAAATACGCAAGAATTCATTTTGTTTAATAAATAATTAAATTATATACGTCAAGATACATAATGTACATAAGTATATAGAAAACTGATAAAAAAAAAAAACAAGTCAGCTAATTTGATTATTAGCTGACAAAAAGTTGACCTGTTTTTAAGGCTCGATGCTCTATGTAATCAAAGTTTTTTCTATACAAAATACAATGAAATTATAAGACTTTTTTTTTACTTTTACTATTATAAGCTGCGGTTAACTAACAAATAAGTGATATTTCTTGACCTGGATAACATCAACCTAGATAAATAAATAATATTTATATTATTATATGTATTACATCTCCCATATTTAGAACTAACAAATTTTTCATCGTGCCTCCCACCAAATTGTTTATAATTACTCCTCTCCATCCAAAGGTTGCTTGGAAGAGATCGCTCTTAGCGATAAGGTCGCCCATTGTTTTCTGATTGTGATTATTTTTATTGAACGGTGCAGCTTGACCGTACGGTAAGCGTGGACTGTAGGGGCGCTGGTTCAGGCTGGAGAGAAACACACTGATTCCTTTTCTGAAGTCCCCGGTACCGTCTGAAGAGTTTTCTTTTGTCCTATTTCTTCTCGGTTGGGAGTGCAGTGCGTCAATGCTATGGCAGAGCATGCCGCTCGTTCGCGATGTCGCGCATCCCCTTGCGGGAGGATGGGAAAACCAGTCCGGAGCCCTAACTCCCCTCTGGTGGTAGCACACGCCGGGCATAAAGATGTCCGGGTCTTCAGGTTGCTGCTGCTGCAGATCGAAGGCTTCTTTATATGTTAATGAGTGTGAGTATGACTAGCGGCTTGGTGGCGCTTAGCATGCCGATGCGGGCTCGCTCTGCGCGGTCTTCGCCTGCCGAGTGAGACCCCGTAGGGGGAGGCCCAGCAAGCTGCCAGCGTGCGAGTGAGCCCAACGGCTCTGTGTGCTAAGCGTCAGCTTCATTATTTGGTGCGTGCGTGCTGGCTATGAGTTCACGCGCGTAGGGTCTTGAGTCCGGCGGCCGCGCATGTAGCGGGGCCAGACCTTTGAGGTGGTCCCATGATGAAGCGTCTACGCGCGCGAACATCCTGGTGGCCAGGTTCTCTATAACCGCGTCCAAGGTGGGCATCTTGAGGTCCCTCTCGAGTGTGGTGTTCCTCACGTACCTATGTGCGCCGGTGATGGTACGAAGTGAGAGGTTTTGTTGTGCTTGAAGTTTTCTCTTGTTGGAACGACTCAGATTGGGGTACCACGCCGGCGCAGCATAGGTCAGCCGTGGTCTGATGTAGGTTTTGTAGATTGTTGTCTTCACCCCGAGAGGGAGGTTTCCTTGGAGCGCTGGACGCAGGAGGTGCCTGGCAACTCTCGCCTTATTGCACACCGCGTTTGTGTGAGCGCCGAAAGTGAGCCTTCGATCTATGACCACTCCGAGGTAGGTGACGGTGGCGGACCACTCGATCGGGGAGTCGCACAGGTGTAATTTTTCAGCGTGTTGCTTCCGGCCGAAGAGGATCGCCTGCGTTTTACGCACGTTCACCGATAAGCGCCATTTTTCCAGCCATTGGGGTAGTGTGTCCAGGAGTCTTTGAATCTTTGTTGCTGCATGCGATGCGGTGATGGACGACGCGATATAAGCTGCATCGTCTGCATACAGCGCCAAGGTAGTCTGGTGGGTGGTAGGTATGTCGTCGGTGAACTGTGCGTATAGTGCCGGCGATAGGCAGCTTCCTTGTGGAACACCTGCGCGGATCGGACGCTCTCCCGAACAGGTTTGCTCGACCGTCACCATGAATCTCCTGTTCTTCAGGAAGGAGGCCACCACTTGGATTAACCTTCTTGGCATGTCCGTCTGGATGGCCAACTTGTACAGCAGACCGTTGTGCCATACCCTGTCGAACGCCTTTTCTATGTCCAGGAATACCGCTGCCGCTGTCTCCTTCTTGTTGAGAGCGACTGTTACGGCGTGCAACGTCCTGGACAGCTGCAGTGTTGTCGAGTGTTCAGCCCTAAACCCGAATTGCTCCGGTCTCGGCGTGATGTGTAGCATCATGTGCCTGAGGATGAGCCTTTCGAATATTTTCGAAACATGCTGCAGTAACGTGATTGGCCGGTAGGACTCTGGCTTCAATACGTTCTTATCGGGCTTAGGCAGCGTGATGACTTTGCCTATCTTCCATTGGTCTGGGAAATGCCCTGTGCGAACAATACCGTTGAAGAGGTGCGTCAGTGTCGCTATGGTGCGTCGCGGCAGGTGGTGAAGTGCCATATTCGTGATATTGTCGCTGCCTGGGGCTTTCCGAGGCTTCGTCTTTCTGATTTCACGCTGCACTTGTCCCGGCGTGAAAACTATGGGGTCCTCGTGGGGTGGTAACGAGGATGATAGGTAGTTCGCTACGTAGTTGTCTACCATAGCAGCATGTTCGTGGTCCTCTGCGGGGTTGGGCTGAAACTGGCGTTCGAGGTGGTCGGCAAGAATCTCTGCGCGGTCTGCTGCGCTGTACCTCGGAGTCCCGTCGCTCGCCAGTAGTGGACGGACTGGGGGTTGGGCTTTGGTCAGCCGGCGACACAGGCGATGGATGTTGTTCCAGTCGTCGCCGGCGTCTTCCATCATACGCTCCCAACTTTCTTTCCTGTAGGACTCGATGTCTTTTTTAATTTCGGCCGTCAGTTTGTTTACTCTCGCCTTGAGTAATGGGCATCTTGACGACTGCCAGTCCCTACGCAGTCGGCGTTTCTGCGCCAGTTTTCTGCGTGTCGCGGCCGGGATCCCGTCGAAGTTCTTGCGGACCGGGCCGGGTTGAGCCGCGTCTTCCAGGGCGTTCTGAATAGAGACTGTCAGACGCTTGGCGAGTTCTTCCACATCGGTAGGAGTTGTAATGGTGGCGGTGGGTGTGTTGCTTTGCATCGAGTCCTCGAATTGCTCCCAGTCGGTCCGGCGGCGAGGGGCCAACGGCGTTCGGATCGTTGGGGTTTCCGGGATATCCATGCATACTGGTAAGTGGTCGGACCGGATGTCCTCTAGGAGGACTTCCTGCGTCGGCTGGCTATTTAGGCCCCTGAAGAGTACGATGTCTAAGACGTCAGGGGTCCTTGTGGGGTCGTGAGGATAGTGAGTTGGAACCTCAGGTCCTTGGACGGTGATATCCATTCTCTCCACTATCCTCAGAAGTCTTTTACCTTCAGCGGTGTCATGGTTTGAATTCCACGCCGTGTGTTTGCAGTTAAGGTCTCCTGCCATGATAGTGGGTATCGGCGAGTCGAATATGGCCTCGACATCAGCCGATACGATCCTGCTTCCAGGTGGTTTATACGTTGCAAACACACGGGTGGGACTTCCTGCGATGTTTAGCTCGACCCCGAGTGTGTACAGCGTGTTGAGTTGCACTTGGGGGAGTGGCTCGTGGGCAATGTTCCTCCGGATTATTACAGCCAACCCGCGATATGCCTTTTGGCTGTCCGTGACCTCGTCTTTACGATATACATAGTATCCCGGGATGTGGAGTTTGTCGACGGCCCCAAGTTGCGTCTCAGATATGAGACAAACGTCGACGTTATACTCCACTAGCAGCAGTCTTAGAAGTGCCTTTTTGTGGCGGACGCCATCCGCGTTCCAGTGGACTATTCTTGTACACATTTTGTTTGTGTCAGTCTCACTAGACCCGCGGTGATGGCCGGCAGAGGGTCTGCGCCGGACTGTACCGCAAGGAGTACCTCCATCAGGATACCTATCATGGTTTTTAGGAGGTTTCCTGTACTGATGGGGGTATTATCCTGGGCGGGTTGCTTCGCCTTCTTCCCCTTGTTTATCGACGGTTTGTGCACCGCAGAGGTGGTGGTGGGTGCTTCTAGTGGTTGAGGGGCGGCGACTGCAGGCGGATGCGTCGTGCGTTTGGCCACTATTTTGTTGCCGGTGCCAGTGTCTGGGGTTTTCTTCGTCTTCTTCCCCTTACCCCTCTTGCGGTTTTTACTTGGGGGCTGTTGGTTCTGTTGTTCTCCGCTCAGTGGCTGGGTTTGCCGGGGCCATTAGACTGCCCTGGCTGGCGGCTGCAGGGACCGAGCGGCTGTTGTCTCTTGGAGCGCTTCTGTTTCTCGTGAGCACCGCCGTGCCGGCCTTCTTGGCACGGGATTCTCTTTTGTACACCGGGCAGGCGGTGCTGTTGGCTGTGTGCTGGTCCCCGCAGTTCGCACACGTGGGTGGTTCTTCCCTGGGCCTCGGGCATTCCCTGGCCGTGTGCTCCTCTCCGCAGCGGACACACGCGAGTTTTCTATGGCATCCGTACGATGAATGGCGGAAGCTTTGGCATCGGTGGCATTGAGCCGGGCCTTTCTTCCCCCGCCATGCTTCAATTTTGATTCCCGGCATACACAGCAACTCGCTGACTTCGTATATGCCGGGAATGATGCCTGGAGTGCGCTTTAACTGGGCGTAGAATATGCAGCCTGGACGGCCCTGACGGGCTTTGATTTGCCTGATGTATTCGCTCTCGTATCCAAGCTCCGTCAGGGCTTCTGCGATTTCGTCGATCGGTGTGTCCGCTGGAATGCCGCGGATAGCCACCTTAAGGCTTTTCTCGGCTGGTAGCTGGTAGGAGAACCAGCTGATTTTCTCCTTCTTTTCTAAGTCGGAGAGGTATCTCTGGATGGTGCGATATTCCTCCTCCGACTTCGGTGAGAATCTCACCCCCTTCCCATACGGGCGAGCGTTCGGGGCGAAATTGAGCGTTGCCTTAAGGTGCTTGAAGTGGTGGACCCAGTTTGGCAAGTGTTCCACTATGAGCGGAGGGATTCTATTCTTTTTGGCCGCAAGAGGGGTTTGTGCGGCGCCTGATGTCAATGTTCTCGTTGATTGAGGTGCCATCGTTCCAGGAGGTGGAGCTGGCGCCTTGGCTACGTTGGCATATGTTGCTGGAAGCGGGTCTATGTTTGTGGCTTCGGCTGTCCTATGCCGTAGCCGAGGGTCTCGTTGTGGCATGGGAGTCTGTTGTAATGGCGGCGACGATTCCTGACAGGGACGCTTGTGTCCCTCCTCTGTTTCATCAGGACTTCTAGGTCGTCGCGCCGGTCTTGTTACAACGAACTGCTCGCTAATGCTTCTGGCCAGCTCCATTTCCTCTATGGGGGGCGTTGGCTGGTCCTCGAGGCGGGCAGCTTCATCCCCGACCAGAGCGGCGATCCTCTCCTTCATGCCTTGCGAGAGAAGGTCCGTGGCCAGCACTTGCCCCAAGATCAAGGAATCACATTCCAAAGTTGAGCATGCCGCTCGACGGTAGGCGGCCTATCTTTATACCCGCCCGGTCGCACGATAACATGTACTATCTCGCGTTAGCGAGTCTGTGCGAGCGGGACGAGGCGAGTGTGAAAGAGACGCGTATCTCTTCAGAGCGGCACCATATGGCATCTATTTATTTGTTACAATTGTCTTATTTCTATTTACTTTTACAATTTCCTTTTCTTATTCTATTTACGGGTAATAATAACAAGACACAAAAAATGTTTTATTCGACTTACGAGCTATAGATACATCTAAAAATCTATGTAAAATAAACAATTTAAAAACGATTAAAACTAATGACAAAAACAACTATAAAATATCGCTATAACTATATAAAGTGATTATAATGTCGCGAACATTTATAATTATTTATATTTATAATAAGTTTACTATTGTAAATAAGTTTACTATTGTAATCTTTTGGAGGAAACAATAAAGAGTATCTATCTATCTATCTATCTTAATAGAATTTATAAATAAGGCCTAAAAAAAGGCCGGATATTGATTGCTCTGGTCAATATATCCACTTTTGTTTATTCATGTTATCACTGGCTATTATACAAAATGTTTTTCAATCATAGATATCAATATCGAGTTATAGGGGGAAAAGGGATTATTAGTAATGAGGTCTAACCCATCTTTGCATAATAGTGAAAATTTCCATCATAACATTGAATGTACAACAATTATATATAAGAACAATTTCACTTTAATTTGATCGCGTCTGGATACTTTTTTAATTTCCATTGCAAAAAATAAACATAGCTGTCAAATTTATTTTTTTAACATTTTTTTTATTATGAACATGAATTATATCACATTGATTTATTTCACGAATAAAAAAAAATTATGCAAAGAAGGGCTAATAGCCCCATTGCTAGCATGTAATCCCCATATTGAAGGTGGTGTCGAGTTGACATCTGTCATATGACAGATGCGACAGTCGGTCCCCCTACCGAAAAGTTTTATTTCCATTTATATAGGTTTCTAACTTATCCTATATATATTTTGTAGTTAATTTTAATTTGCATTCTTTGATATGTCATCTTTTTTTCAGGTATGTTCCTCTGTTTTTATTTACGTCGTTACGACATTTTACAATTGTTTGTAAAAAAATATAAACCTCAGCTATATTAACTGGACTATCTTTTATATATAGTTTGTGCTAAATATTAGAGAAAAAATAAATAATGAGAATCTAGTTATGCTTTTAGTAGCGAGACAATTGTATTAAAGTGTCAATTCATTAACAGACAGGTACAATAAAAAAAAAAAAAAAACTAGCTACCAAGAAGTATTTACACACTATCTATTCCATTTGTACTTCAAGTAATATAAGTAAGTTATCTTCTTATTAACAAATTATAATCCAAATTCACCATCTTCCAATTATTTGAAGTCAGTGTAATATGTTTTCTTTTTTCATTCATAGCTATTTGTAGTCATTTCCAATGTTTTAATATTCATTCTCATTTTGGCCATATCGTCTCTCACACACTTCTTTTATTTTTTTTTATATAATCTAAGTTACTAGCAAATATTCCTTTATCATCTCAGCCATTATCCATCCACTATTGAACATAGGCCTTCTGATCTAGATGTTGAAGACTGGAACCTTAATTCACGTCATTTCCTTATAAGAAGCAAGTATTCAAGTATCATTGAGATATTTATATGAAATGTACTTCAATTCAGAAATTATAAGTTACGCTATGTAAAATAAATTTAATTACAGAATGAAGACTGCTGCGTCTGTTCTTCAAGAAATGATGGTGAAGATGGGGGAGATACCAGATTATGAGTGTATATCAAAGGTAATGGTTTGGTACAGCTATAGCATTGCCAGCCTTTGAGTGAAGCTTTGTATGCAGTTCCATTTTCATAATTTCCTGTGCTGTCTGCACAGTGGTGCCTTGCTTTATATTATATCATAAAAATGTCATAAATTAGATAATTGGAAAGTACTGGAACATAACTTACCAATAGTGAGTTTTAAAAAGGTACTGGAATTTGCTGTTTAAATAATTAGGAGTCTGGGGGTTTTAATAAAGGGAAAAGAGGGTGCAAAGAGTCCTAAGGTTTCTGTATTGACGAATTGGAAGCCATTTGAGCTCGGATTTTGAGCCATTTGAAAGAAATGTGATCAAACTTTGGAAGGTTGATGACAAAGCATATAGCTTGGTTGAGGAGATAGATTATTTTATGTATTTACCTTTGTTTTTGTTATTTGCTCAAATTTTAAAATTTTTGTCTTCAAATTCATACAGAGCATTTAATAGTAATATTTATAAAAATTATTAAAAAATTGTTGTTGAAATTATATTTTTATGAAGTGTGTAGATTTTTTATTTAAAAAAATAAAGAAGAGGAGCTATAAATAACGGTGGAATAAACAATCCTCTAACTCTCAGCCGTTGTTCTTTGTACGCACCCCAACACTGCATGTGATTGCATGCGTGTCAATTACTATTAGCACCACCGGTTTGCACCTGTACCGCTCAGTTTGCTCCTACTTATTGCTATTTCTCTGCTCAATTTTCTGATTACTCAGCAGCCAGATATTGATATATTTAATGACAAAATAGATATATTTTTAAAATGTTCAGAATTTTTAAGTTTGTAAAATAAACCTATGGCTCACTACACGTTTTGGGGTACTGTAAGTGCGATGACTAATTTATAAATAAATAAATAAAAGAGATCGGATTACATTTAATGTTAATTTGTCGTCACTAGTCCGGCCCGCAGCACCAAATGACGTTCGAGTACCGGTGTAAAGCACTGGGCTTCGTGGTGACGGCGGCGGCGCGCTCCAAGAAGGAGGCCAAGCAGGAAGTGGCCAAGCTTATGCTGGCCCGTCTCGCCGCCGCCGGTCACCCGGTGCCTCCACCGTACGGTCTCTTCAGCACTAATAAACCGCAGGTGAGCCATTATTCCTTTCTTTTATATAGTAGATAATTTAGTTAATTTTTAACTTTCGCGTTTTTGCGTTGTTTCAAATACACTATTTGGATTTAACGCGATGAAAAATTTTTGCAGGTAAATCTACCTACCTAATCTACCTACATAAACGCTTTTTTATTGCCGACGCTTTGATGTGCAATCCAATGTTTAAGTCCCGATAGTGTTTTTAAAGTAGATAAGTTATCTTCTGTTATAATTAAAAAAATATTTTTTTATCTCTTTTTAGGGGGATTTCTGATGGATACAACTAATCCTACTTGGGAACTATCGTAGTTAATTCCTAGTGAATTGGTGCCGTCACATCCGTGTCATCGTCGCCGTGTAGATTCTAACATAGAATGGGCCACCCCTTCCTTTTAAGTGAGTGTCGTAAGAGGCAACTAAGGTCACTTAATAGCAGGGGGATTGGCAGCATCGTCTCTCTTTAAACATCACTAGAAACTTAGCTTTGGTTGTCAACCCGTGTGGCAAGCGTGGCAACTACTTCCTACCTGCTGTCTGCTGCTTGTCGTAGCAGGGCCCCGCGGCGGCAGCGGCGGCGGCGGAGGGCGGCGGCGTGAGCGCGATGCGGCCGCTGGAGGCCCGCAGCCACGTGGCGCTGCTGAGCGAGCTGTGCGCCGAGTACCGGCTGGCGGCGCCGCAGTACGCGCTGCTGGGCGACGAGGGCCCGCCGCACCTGCGCCACTTCACCGTGGGCGCCCGCGTCGGCGACCACGAGCGCCGCGCCACCTCCACCACCAAGAAGGCCGCGCGCCAGCTCGCCGCCGCCCAGCTCTACTCCTACCTGCGCGAGAACCTCGCGCGCGTCACCAGGGACTTCGACGAGGTTCGTCCCGCTACCGCCGTAGCTCTCTCCCACCTCCCCTCACCCTCACCCCGGCGGCCTAGGGTGGTGGTGACAGTCCACTTGCGAGAAAGTGCCAAGCGTTGCCTTGCGGAACTCGCTGCGACACCCGTGATTTACGTAGCGCGTTGCCAACCCCGTGGACTACTTTACATTTCATTACTATATCACCTTTTATTACTATATAGTAAGAAAGCAGAAGTATCCATGCAAACAACTCGTAGATGTAAATCACTCTCTAGTGAAAGCGCTATCCAGTTACAAACCGAGTAAAGTTTGTGCTCTTGCTACTATAGAACACTGCTTGACGAATCTTTTTATTATTTTTTAAATAAATATCATACATTACTATATTATTTTTTAAATATTATCATACATACATACAAATACAAACGACCATTGATATTGTACGAGCTCATCTTGCGACCATTGGATGGTGAGGCGGTGTGCATCACCGGACATTTCGCCAAATGTGGAAACCCCGTTCGAAGGTGACTCTCATTTTATTATCACACAAGATCTATTAATGTATTATTATATTACTTTGACATTTATAAACTATTTTATTTATTTATACTGTATCGTACACAAAAACTTACATACATATAATTTTTATTAAATAAACATGTACAACAGGCGAGCTTAACTCTGTAAGAGTTCTCTTCCAGCAAACCCTCAGTGGAAATGAGCATAAATTACCTATGTTAGTAATAAACAATAACACAATTCGGTTAACTTTGTCCACCCTCTTTTACAGTGAATATTTTATAGCTTTTTAAATCCTTTGTGTTATTTAACGTTTAAAGTTAATATATCTTCGTGTTAATGATTTCAGGAGGACGCTCTGGTCAGAGCAGTGGGGAAAGCGATGGACAAGTATAGCGAAACTAGGGACATAATGAACAGACCCAATTTGGGCCAGAAGATATCTGAATATCATCTAGCATTTCCAGCTAGTAAAGGTAAGCGCTAAACGTATCTTGATTTTTCTATGTATCGAACGATCTTGATGCGGGGAGAAAGGTATTGTTGGTAATAGGAATCTACAGCTCCATTGCTGGCAATATACTCTATCCGGTCGACCACCACACGGTTATCCTTGGAAACCCTCTTAATTTATGAATTATGATGGGGCCAATCGAACTGTTTTATCCTCACTGGAGCCCCACCAGCGTACCTATACTGAAAGCGCGGGCGATTCCATTAAAAAAAATATCTAGTCGGTTGTTACTTTTCTACAATGATGTATTTAAAAACCGTCAATTTATTGAAAAAATATTACTACTAGCTTTATATTTATCACGATGGGCTAACTGACTTGCTTTCATCCTCACCTATCATCCCTCATTGGTGTCCTGTCGGTGTATACTTTTAGTGCTGGCGGGGTTACCATTCCATTGTAACGTGTTTACGATTTATGGTGCTTTTTAGGAAGCAATTGATAATTTAGACTGCCTTTTTTATAATCTAACTAGTCTGGCCTTAAATACTGTTACATAAAAATTATTCTTTTTTTTAACTTTTTAATTATTTTGAATTTGGAACACGTTTATTATTTTAAAAACTTCTTTCCATTTCACGTCGCTTCACATATTTTTTCGTGTTCATTATGAAATTATAATATGGAATGGGGCGTTAAATAAAATAGGATTGCAGCAGATCGCCTTGCACAAAGTGGATATGGAGCCATCGGTCAAATTCTAGAAACTTCAAAAAGCTTTCAAAAACAACACTTCCTCTGTCGAAGACTAGAAAAAATGCTGTTAAAGCCAGAATTCGTCGAAATTCCATTAGGAAGCAAAAAATCTTATCGCAAGGAATGAAGATTCCCGCTAGAACTCTGTCGCGTTTTATAAAATAAGACCTGAAGCTCTTTGCTTATCGTCGATATACAGGACATGCCCTAAATCAATCTTTACAATTTAATAGGGTGGATAGATCAGAACTTATGGCTAGACTAGGTATATGTATCTTTACTTATGAATAAAGTTGTTTACGTAAATAAACGAACCAAAATAAGAAATGGATCTATATTTTCTTATTTTTTTTTTCGTAAACATCACGAATATAATGCTCGATTAAGAAAGACATTGTTGACCTCGGTCGTGCGTAATAGTAGAAACATGAGCAAACACTGGATATTGGATCGACAGATGAGAGCACGCTGGCGCTGGGCCGCGAGGCGCTGTGGAGCGGCACGCAGCTGCCGGCGGAGGTGCGGCTGGCGGCGGCGGCGAGCGCGCTGGGCCTGCAGCCCGAGTGGGCGGCGCTGGACGCGGAGGGCGGCGCGCTGGCCGTGCTGCGGCTGCTGCCCGCCGAGCCGGCGCTGGTCTTCGCGGGCCGCGACCGCGCCGCCGCCGCCGCCGCCGCGCTGCGCTACCTGCACACCGTGCTCACCTGACTCGCGCCGCCACGCTACCACCCTCTTGTTAATAAATTCATTTTATAATGCTCGTTTTTTTTATTTTTAACGCCCAGCTTTGTCCGCAGTAAAAGTTAACGAGTGATATTACTCCTCTATCACGATACGTCTACTGCTAAACATAGGTCTCTCCCTATTAGGGGGTTTTGCTAATAATTGCCACGATTGGCAAGCAGGTTGGCAATTACAGTTAAGATTTAGTGAGTTTTAAGAGAGACGTCACTACCTATCAATCGACGAATAAGTAAATAATACATAATATGCGTGAATTCAAGTAAGTGGAGTCAGTAGCAGTAGCAGTGACGACGCGCGCGCAGCCGGTCGGTTCCGTTTCTCGTCGAGAACTAAATTGGGACTCGCAAGCATCAGACGGCGCATCTCACACATTCTGGTGTTCCGTACCATGTTATAAAATTATTTGTTAAATGCAAGTGAATTGGTGACTACTCTCCCGGCCGGTGTGGAACTTTGGAGGCATTGCTCAATCATATATGTAGGAAATTATCACTTTGTTCTATCGGATTTATTTATTCCTATAAAGTCGACGTAGTACTGTAAAATGCACTTAATTCTCTTGGAAATTATATCAAGCATTATGCACTCGGTGGACTGTACTTGTTATCCCTACTTATCCAACCCATTCCGATTATAGTGGGAAGACTGTAGATGGCTATAGGTTTTTTTTTTAAAAAGCAGCTGTCTGGTGCATGTTTATACACATGCACACCGTTCCGATGTGCTTTGTTTTGCGACCGTGAGAGTACGGAATGTGATTGCAGAAGTTTTCACATTTTACAACAGCCAGTACAGAAATTAGGCAACAAACTTATGGGACAACGTACAATCAGGAATATCTAGACTCCAGTTACAAAAAATCATTTACCATTTTTTGTGCATTTGAAAAAAAATCAAACCGTATGAGCTTCGATTACCATCCGCTTTGGGTTTCGCCCGCACAATGGACGTAGAATAAACTTAGATATTTTTAAATAGGTATATATTACGTTTTGTACGTTATTAGATGTTATGGCTGTCGGATATCATAAAATATGGTCGAACGTAATCCAAAAGAAAATAAAAAAAATATATTATATTATATATTTAATAATATTCCTATTGATATAAAGAAACTTTCATTAAACAAATTTAAAAATAGATTATTTAAATGGTTACTTAACAAAATCTTTTAGTCGGTAGACGAATTTTAAAAAAAAATATAGATATATATCTAGTACAGTTGTTGTCGACGCATAAATAAATGTAATGGCTAAATAGGTTCGACACTTTATGTAATATAACACCACCGATACCTACCCTATTTAATGCAAATATAATTACGACTAGCTCTTTTGTCATACTTATTTATAACGGGTGTTCACAGGAATGGATTGCAATGCCTAAGCGTATCGCCGGGTGCACACTACTATTTTCTGTGGACCGTATCCTGTGAATAGATTTTGAGTTAGGGAATATCGAAATCATGGTAGGTACGGGAAGAAATCTACAATAGGTAGCTACTATTACTGATCGCAACGACAACACGTTTCAAGTGATAAAGAGATTTATTAGAAAGGAATGCTCAACGGTCTAGCGTTCAGTCGGAATCTTCGATATCCGACGACTCGCGACGTCGCCGTGTCGTGGCCAAGCTCTGCAACCACGTGGCAGACTTCTGTGCGGCAGAGCGGCGCGGCGTGGTGCGGCGCTCGGGCGCCGGCTCGGGCGGCGGCGGGTCGGGGTCGGCGCGCGCGCGGCTGCGGCCGCGGCCCCGGCCCCGGCCGCGAGCGCCCCGCGCCCCGCGCCCTCGCCCGCGAGCCATGGCTTCCTCCACCTTGGCCTCGTCGTCGCTCGACAGCACCACCACAGCCCGCTTCATAGTCGGGGTGTTGTTGACCTTGAGTGCGGCCGTCGTATCGATGAGTGTTCTCAGTTGATCGTCATCGGCCGCGTCCAATTCCTGTTTGCAGATGCGGAGTCGTTCCTCGACCTCGTCGACCTTCTCCGCCGTGGACTCGAGCAGGGCTGCGACGCATCGCCGTTTGTGAGCTTCGAAGACGCGCCGGAACACGTCGTCGTCGTGCTTCAGAGTAAACTCCCTGACAGCGTCCGTGACGGCGCGCACCGATAACACTTGGAGGTTTCGCTCGGGGGGTAGAGACTCGAAGTACGTACGCAGCAGAGATTCTACGTCTACGGCCTCGGCGGCCACGCCCGAAATGTGATTGTCCTCATTGTTGATTTGCTCCTTTCGCTCTCTAATTTTCTTTTCTTTTTTCATAATCAGTATATCATTCGGATTTGCAACTAGACCATTAAAATTTTGTCCAAATCTCACTCTATTGAAGTCTTGTTCCTCTCGCTCATAAAATACACTGAGTCTTACTAATGGCAGGGTTGGTTGTTTGGGATCTCCACTACGGAGCTTCTCAGCTTCAGAGATAGCTTCATTTATTTTAGATTTTAAGAACTCCTGTACTTTTTCATTTTCATTTACTTGCTTGGAGCCCAAATCTTCTTCGGATAAAACAATGGTCTTGAAGATGAAGGGACGAACTGTCTTCAATGGAATGGGTGTCAATATATAATCACTATTGTGTATTTGTAATAGTGCACAGTGCTTTGGCAACGCCTCTCCAGAGGCTAACGATGTCGCGACTGTACTGCCAGGCTGTACAACAAAAAATCTTTCATTCTCAGTTTTATTTTCTTTCATTTCATAGAGCTGACAATCATGTTCATGGCCCCATACTACTAAGTCTAAAAAACTTGGCAATACATCTTCCCGTATGTAATTACTAGGGCCCCTGTCAGCCCTGTTCTGGTGCAGAGTTAACAAGTTGAACCAGTCATTCCCATCATCGGGACGCTCTATTTCTACTTTTTTTTCTGCAAAAAGTCGAGAAAGTCGTTGATCCTTTAGGTGGCTGAGGCCATAAAGTGCTAGCTTAGTGGATCCCTTTTGCATAAGAACAGGTGTAATGCGAACGTGAGTGTAGTCACTCCATTTGCCAAAATAGTTCACCAGACCTGTGATAGACAAAATGTCGAGAGAGCTGATACTGCTTTGCCCCACGGGGTCATCATGATTACCATGTATAGATAAAATGGGGTATGACACATTTAAATTTGGATCTTCGTAGTTGACGACACGAGAAAAATTCACAAATTGATCTGACAATAGCTCGACGCTGATGGGCTTATCGCCTAAACAATATTTTCTGATAAGTTGTGTACATTTGAACATACATGCAGGGGAAGGTTTCGCATGATCGAATAGATCTCCTCCAAGCAAGATCAAATCTGCGTCGTACTGTACAGCTAATGATAAAACTTCTTCGAATGCAATGAAACTATCTTCCCCGCGAACGGCGTCGTTTTCGAGGTAACCTAAATGTATGTCTGATGCTATTAAAATTCTCATGGTGTCATCAGCGGACCATGATCCGGGATCTATTCCAACCATTTTTTTTATTTTCTAAAAATTCAACAAAATAATTATAAAATTATAAAATATACCGGTAAATATCATGACAAAACACAGTGTACTTTTTAAACTTTCGTTTATCTAGAATGCAACGGCACTAGATACTTAATGTTGCCAACTCTGTTTTTTATTTTAAGGCTAATTAGAATTGAAAAAATTCCAAAAATTAAAATATTTCTAGCTATCTCTTTTTGAGATATATAGTAAATAGACACATAAATAAATATATTTGATGCTTTAATTTGTAAATCAAAACATTTTTTATGTTAAAAATTATGCAACAGAATGAAGGAAAAAGACGATCTAGTCGATAAAATAGTTACGCGAATTATATAAGCTAAATTAATACAAATGCTATATTTGCCGAAGCTCGTACAGATGGTTTTGATGCAGTCTGGCGTAAAAAGATAGCTTCGTTCTTATATACAAATATACAATATGCGAGAATGGCAATAGTATCCTGAACATGTTTGTAAATAAATTAGATAGTCTTTTCGTGAAAATGCTTGCTGAGAGTATTATCATTATTAGTAATTAAGTATGAACACGGTTTTTAAGTACATTTAGTAACAAAAATGGACTTTAGGTGTCTAAAATAAATAAATAAATTTGTAGTTTTACATTGTTCCAGTGTCGTCTATGTTTCTTTGATAATATTGGCTATCTATTTAAATTGAAAGTGATTATAAAATGTTACTTAAGTTAGCGCCTGCTTTTTCTATTGATAGAAGTTATCATAATATTTGTAATACATATATATATTTTATACATAGTTACGCTTTAAAACTTTAGTTCTTTAAATACTATGTTATCAAACTACTTGCCGTGGCCACCTTTACCGTTTCTAGTATCCCTAACAGATGAAAAAAAAAAAATTAAATAACGCCTCTTAAATCTCGATGCCTCTTTTGGAGGTAATTTTTTTTTATCATTTTTTTTTTTATGTAAACACAACTGTTTCACGATAGAAACTCGAATAGGACAGAGGTACCCAAGCAAAGCATTTCATTTTAAGAGATTGTTAGTAATGCGGACTATTAGTCTCATTGCTAGAAATATAACTTGTCAGATTGATTCTACGTGGCTCCCTTTGAAAATCATCGTGGTGAATTCCAGGTATTTTCATCACAATAGGCTAACTGACCTACCTTTCACTTTTCACCTATCATCCCTTACTGGTGCCCTGCCAGCGTACTCTGTTATTTTAATTTATTCATGACCATGAATACAAGTCTACGTATACTGTTAGCGCAGGTGGTGTTACCATTCTATTATCATCCATTATAAAAATATGCAATTTATTTTCATACTATGAAAATAAATACACATACCCATAAGGTAAATTTTTGTATATTTTTATTTATTATTATATTACTATCTGTAGTTGGGGGGAAAGGGATTGTTAATAATGGAGTTTGACAGCCCCATTGCTAGCAATATGCCCTATTAGGTCGACCTCCACGTGGTTCCCCCTGGAAACCATGGTGAACAATTCTTGTTGAATTCCTCACGATGGGCTAACTGACCTACTTCATCTCCTCACCTATCATCCTTCGCTGGTGCCCCGCCGGTGTATACCGATAGCGCGGGTGGGGTTACCATCCCATTTTCATCCATTAAAAAAAAAACTATCTGTAGTTAGCGAATGAACGCCAGTGCTGTCTCTACACAGCGATTATGGAACTACTACTCATTCTACTCGCGTGTGTAGGTAGTTTTTGGGCCGTCTTCATATTGTATTTAGAATAGTGTCATTTGCGCTTTATTCAAAAAAGAATCCTACTAATATTCTAAAATTAAAAGCGACTTTGCAAAAACATGAATGTTAGTTTTAACGGGTGAACGGATTTGGATGAAATTTGGTACACATGTCTATAGATTAAGTGTGCTCTAGATTATCCTATAGGATATTTTTATAGTTTTATTTTTCTACCTAACTAGCTTTTCTTCGGTTTTGCCCGTCTGAATCAGTATATAAAGTATCCAACAATGCGTTTTTTATTAGGTGAAAAATGGAATATTAACCCCGCCTGTGCTTTTTTTTTTTGATGGATGATAATGGAATGGTATCCTCGCCTGCGCTAATGGTATACATTAGCGGGGTACCAGTGAGAGATGACTGGTGAGGATGGAAAGGAAGGTCAGTTAGTTCATCGTGACGAATTCAATGATAAATTAGTCACGATGGTTTCCAGGGAGAACCGCGTGAAGGTCGACCTGATAAGGTATGTTGATAGCGATGGGGCTAACCTCTCCATTACTAACAATCCCTTTCCCCGCCTGTGCTATTTATGGTTGATAGGTGAGTATGAAGCAGATCATTTGGCTCATTGTGCCTAATAATGAGAATAATTAAGCACGGTAGTTTCCAGGTTGTCCTCATAAGGTATATTGCTAGTAATGGGGCTATTAGTCCCTTTTACTAACAATCCTTGTCCCCTTTGTATAAGCTAGGATGTAACCTACACGTGTACTGTGAACATTGGAATTATTTATTTTGTTTATTCTTTATGTTTGGTTCGAAAGGCGGACTTAATGATATGCTTTCTCTCCCAGTAAATTTTTGGTAAAACGGAAATGTTATGTGGTGAAAAATACTTAAAAAAATTGCAAATTTCCTAATATTTCCTTCTCCACGGTTCCCCGAGCAACTTGCTGTGTAATTAGAATACTGAACTACGTTAATATTTGAGAAACCACTCAAAGACTAACATTTGAATTAGCTCGGATGCAGATAATAATCACATCCAAGCTATCTTCGGCGGCTTTCTTACAAGCGGTTTCGGGCCGCAACAGTTTTACTAGTTTTTTTTTAATGGATGATAATGTAATTATAACCCCGCCCGCGCTATCGGTATACGCTGGCGGGGCACCAGTGAGGGGTGATAGGTGAGCATGAAGCAGGTCAGTTGACCTATCATGAAGAATTTGATAAGAATTAATCACGATGGTTTCCAGGGGGAAGCGCGTGTAGGTCGACCTGTTAGGGTATATTGTTACCAATGGGGCTGTTATTACCCACTACTAACAATTCTTTCCCCCCAACCAGTTCTACTAGTTTTTATTTATGGGTGATGGTTAGGGCATTATCATTAAATAGTAGGATATGTAGTGGCATTAACGTACGAATATGCTGATATGGAATCCCCAATATCAATGTCATACGTCGTATTGAGAGACGAAGTTTCACACGTTATTCGATGTTCCATCGTTACGAAGAACAGATTATAGATCTTATAATGTTGTTCGCTAAGACAGGGCTACCACGTAATTTCAATATTAGAACCTATCACTTGCAGAATGTTATTGAAACTAAACGTTGACCATATGATATTTTGAGCCAGTATCCGCAATTGGATGATATGTTCATATGCCTTAAACCAACTTAGATTTGCATTTTGTAATAGAGTTTTTCTCTTTTAATTCTAATAATATTGTATATTATCTCGACATATTGTTGGTGACCACAGAGTATTTGTGTTCACACGTTTTTTGTTTTAGTTAAATCAATTGGATGTTTTTATATTATTTGTGTTCAGACGTTTTTTGTTTTAGTTAAATCTTATTATTCCTTTTTATATGTTATTGTACTCATGCTTACCTGGGTGGGCGTATTGGAAGACTGTAAGGCTCATCCAGTGGATATAATAAATAAATAAATATTTTTGAAGAAATTCGCCGTGTAGGTCCAAGCATAGAATGGTACACCCCTTCCTTTCCCGCGAGTGCCGTAGGAGGCGACTGAGGCAGCTTATGGTGGAGGAATGTGTAGTAGCGTCTCTCTTAAAACATATGTAAACGCCTATCTGCGGTTGCCAACTCGCCTGCCAAGCATGACAACTACTGACAAACCTCCCTAAGGGGGAGGCTTATGTTCATCAGTGGACAGTGAATAAAAAATGTAAAAATTGTACCGTCGGGTTGGTATGTAAATAAATGGCCAATCGATAGTGTGTAAACGGTGGGACGGTAGAGGATGTAAGAGACGAATGGACAGACAAGATAAACAGAGGGGCACATCATCAGTCTTTGTGGTCTCATTGGTAGGCACTATTGCCTTGAAAGTCTATACTTTCAAGTATTACCACTTTATAATATTTAAATGTATTTTAGAAAACCCTACTAATGTAATAAAATTGTAATTAAAATATGTATTATTATATATATTATGTATTGTAATTGTATATTATTACATGGAAGATACTGAAGAAAAAAATAATATGAGATGGATTACACAACACACATTCACACATACTCACAAACATTCCCACATTCATTTGTTCCGGTATCACACAAAAAGTATCGCACCAATTGGATGGCGTTTTCACTGTTGTATTTCTGAAGGTCAAACTTAAAATGTAGTGTATTTGTATTTGGATACCTCATCTAAAAGTGGTCCATGTAATTGTTCTCGCTACTTTTTAAATCTACGCGTACGAAGTAGGGGGCAATATTCATATAGATATTGGATGTGTTGCTAAATAATATTGTAGAATGCAATAAATAAATTGAATTGAAATGAGGATGGCAAATCACAAATAATAATATTTTTTTTTATACGACTTAGAATGGCAAACAAGCTGGCGGCCTACCTGATGGAAAGTGTTAACAGTCGCCTATAGATGTGTACAGTACCACGGACATAACAGAGTATACTGGTTCGCCTATCGTGGTTAGGTTGGTAGTTAATTTTATAAAAATTCAGATGTAAAATGATTGATTAGTATATGATTACTATTATTATATGTATATTCGATTTAATTACATTATATTTAATTTAAACTTTCGCGTTGTTTACACATATTTTAAATGTACAATCGGCACTTAACGCGATGTAAAAGCTTTTACAGGTAAATACTACCTACATACCTATTTCTTTATTGCCAATGTTTCTGTAAAAGCTTTTACATCGCGTTAAGTCCCAATTGTGTATTTAAAATACATTATTTTTGTTGAGAATATTTGCCTCAATTAACTTTTTATTCTCCCCTTAATGAACTGAAGCAGATGGAATATTTATCAACAAGGACCATGAATAAATTTAATTATTCAAAATCTCACGTATGAGAGAGGGCTCTCACCAAGCGGCTGAATAATTA